TCGTTCTTCACGCACCACACATATAAGGCATTTAGGTTGTTTTGCATAAAGACTGTCTTCATCAGATTGGATTTTTAAAAAAATGTTAAGGTCATCAGCAAAAACCAGATACTCTACGTCCAATATACTGTTGAATATGTCGTTAATAAAGATGTTAAATAAGAAAGGAACTATGTTAATGCAATCTGAGATCTTCAGCTGTAAATTGTCAAAAGTGAACATTCAGAATGAAACTTAAAAAGCGGAAAAGTGACAAACTGTACATCTGTGAGACTTTTATTATAGATAAATGGAAGTGTAACGGTAATATTGCTATTAAACGCTCAGTCCAAGTTTCAGTTAGAACACTGTAAGAATTGAGCTATACATAATTCAACGCGCAATTTGAGAACAATGTTAAAATTTTGGAATTTGCTGAGCTTAGGAACATAACCACACATCAGTTGAGACCAAGGGGACTGGCTCTATACACTTGATTCTGAGAGCCAGGAAGATTCATAGCACATGGGTTGATGAGTAGCAGAGTGTGTCCATTGGATGAGCATCTTGTTTGGTCCATCATTAAGAATGACAAGAGATATCATCTCAGTGGAACAGGGCCCTTTCCTTTGCACTGTGACCAAGGCTAACAAGAAAGAGTTTTGATAATTGAGAGCACAAGGTTATTACAGAACTTTACCACCATAAGAAAACAATTGAATGTAAAGGTGTTCAATCATCTTGGCATAAAGGTGCCCAGTGCAATGGGAATGTAAAAGAACTGTCAGATGGAAACTGACAAATGGGTATGAAGCGACGATGCAGAAACATCCTCAGCCATTTACAGAAAAAATATCTTCCACTGAAACGTGATGCTTACAACTGAAAATGAGATCACTAATGTTCTTCTCCTTCAATTTGTAAAATTTCCTTCAAGAAGATCCCAGACACTGCACTCAAAAATTTCAAATTTGACTCATCTGTCATATTCACAAGAGAAATCTGGCAGTGTGTAGCCTGCAGACAAACCCACAAAAATCCAAACTGACATTGATACGATTAACATTTGTTCACAACTAACCGAAAGTCAATAAAACACTTCTCAACAAATTAACATTGTAACAGAGGCTTTTTGACCAGAATTTGTTCAAAGATAAGGGAGACAATAGTACTCTAATGTGGAGATGGTTATCAGCAAAATTGAATACGGGAGCAGATGTGAAAACAATGTGACAGAATGAGTCACAACTTCTCAATATTTCAGAATGTTTAATTACTCAGGATGGCCTGATCAAAAATTAGGAGAGAAAAAGACACTTCAGAAATATAATGGGAATTAAAATTAGTATGGTCAACAATACCAGAATGGGTAAGACAACCAAGGAGAAACTATATACATTAAGAGAGATGCAGCCTTCTCAAAGAAACAAACTGTCTGGAATGATGGAAGTTCAAAACAATCAACTCTGGCAAAATGAAATCAATTGTTAGACCTTAGAAAATAACTAAATGAGTGCATATTTCTAGGAGAAAAGCAATTACAATATCTGCAATGTCAAGGGCCAACACCCATCCCAGCCATCATTTATGTATCTACTTCTCTCGTAAGATGACGATTGGGATAAATGAAACGAATAAAATTTCCTTCATATGTATATTTTTTTTTCTAAACATAACACTAACCAAAAACAGAACAGGACAAAACTGCTGTACATTGGTATACGGTAGTGGAGCCTACTGACCACCTGCTTGCTAGGGGCCTCCTTATCCAGTGTTTTGTATTTTCATTTGCAGCGTTTTTGTACGCTTAGTGAATGATTATTTATACCAGTTTTGTAGAAGAATTTTTTAGCATTATATTTTTTAGGTTATCTGTGTATAATAATTATTAAAATGTGGATTTTTAGGTTTTGAAATATGAGTGTTAAGATGTAAAATAGGTTTTTTGAGCATCTCAGTTGGCCTTTTAAAATGCTAGAATAGGCATAAATAAAACAGGAAATTTACAGAAAAACACACATTTACAATTTATTTTATATATTTCTCACAGATAAAAAAAATTAATCAATATTATATATAATAAGAATTGTATATTCTGCGATAATACTATTTATGAACAAGTTTAATTGTTTGTCCTCTAGTTTGAATTATTCGTAACATATTTTGCCTCACATAAATTACAAATACTTTCTCCAAGTTTTCACAAATAAATGAATGTCTCTTATCATTCAAAATCACTTTTGTTTTGGGGAAATTCCATTGCTTTATCTTAATAGCGAAGGCTAAATAGTGAAGCCAGGAGGTAGTGGCATGGAGACTTATTGCAAGATCGATATTCTGTATATTAATTTCTCGCTCTCTTGCAGCAACATCAAATTAATATTATCCTTGTCTGTTAAATCTACACAGAAGAAGAAAGTCAAAAGAAACCACACAAAAGAAATTAGGCAAATTAGCCTCATTTTAGGTTTTAAAAATAAAATAGGTACAAATAGGCATTAATGTTGAAATAGGGTCTTTTAGGCACTATAAAATTGACAGGTTTCAGTTCAAATAAATCAGTGCAAGGTATTCAGGAAAAAAGGGGTTTTACCTAAATATCCGTGGTCTAATAATAACCTTGCGGTTGCATTGTTAATTTTACTACTGCCTTAAAATTGGTAGTTGCCCATATATTAGTGCCATAGTACATCATCGCAATGTTTTTGTGCAGTACTAAGCCTTCATCAAGAGAATAATGTTTTGATTCCATAAAAATTTCATAATGCGGAATTAAGAAGACCAAAAAAAACAAAACTGATAGAGCATGGAGTTGTATATCTATTGATCTTCGTAACAAAAATAGCTTTTTATCAAGATATTCATTTCTAGAAGAGAGGACAAGACCCATTCATCAAAATCATTCAAATATGACTGAAAACATTATTTTCCTTCCTGCTTTTAGAGGATGTGATACATTCCCCCAAAGTAGGCAATAGAAAGAAATATTGCACAATGCTTATTGGAAACGGTGTGATTCGTCTCAAATGTTATGTGTAATTAGACAGAAACTATCATATTGCTGAAGCAGGTGCATCTTTTTGTCAATTTAAATGGTAAAGTGATGATGAGCACAAAAGCACTGGACAATCTCTGCTAACAATCATTTGTTTTTTGGTGTTTGAATCATTTTTCTACATGACTTACAGTTGTAGAGTTATAAAGAAAAACTCATAAATAAACAGAAAAAAATACTGTTTTCTTGGGCCTCCAGGAATTAGCACAGGGTCTAGGAGGTCAAAAATTAGGGAGTTTTAATTAGTGCCTGGATACAGACAACATTTTCAAAGAAACGTTTTTATGACTTTTTCGATGTACAATGTACCTACCGACTGGACAAAATGCAATATTGTATTATTACACAACTGTTACCAATAATAAAATACATTTTGTGTTATTTATGGTTTATCTACAATATCACTCCGTTAAACGTTGAATAAATTTATTCTAGTAATATTATTCAGGATCTGATAGTAATTTTCATTTCTTTACAAGATTAAGGAAATCTATTTAATGATATGCATACCTCTGGGTGACAGAAAACAATATTTGAAATTCTTGCTGACCTCATCCAGACTGAATTTGGCGGTAAGTGACGATTTTGAAAAGTAGGATCTGAAAAATTCACTGTTTTCAGGAAAAGATTATGAATAACATGCTGTTCAGTTTCGTCTGGCAATTGTTTAAGAAGCGAAGCGGATGCTAATCGCTTTCGGCGCACATTACGATCTGAAACAAACGAAAATTTACAAAAATTATTTGGAAATTACGTTAACAAAATAATATTTTAAATTTCTTTTGCACCCTTTAATTTTCAAATACCTCTGCTAGCAAGAAAAAGTTGTGCAATATCCATAATTTCATCTCATTCTTTAATATGATAGAAACATAAATTAGATTTACCATTAAAATTTTAAAACACCTTTTAAATTTTAGAAATTAAATCTTGCATTAAAAGTTTTGTAACTTTTACTTTCTAGACATACTACACAATTACATAGTAAATAGGAAAAATTGTCGTGCTGCGGTAAAAGCCAACAGAAAAACTTGTATTGTGGACAGTGGTGCAACTACCGGCAACCTGACAGTTATAATTATCTGGGACCCCCAAAAGCATTTTTTCTTTTTTCGCCTAACTGAACATGTAGGTTAGGTCCTTTTTAAAAGGGATTTGTTCATTACCATAAATCTTTTAGTGTAAATTTTGAATTACATATTTTATTATGAGGACATGAAGATGTTTTTCAAATTTGTTATTTGAAATTACAAATTATTATTTATTGCTTCATTTAAAGTAGGGCAGACCCACAACTGAAGCATCTGTGTCCTACTAGGTGGTCCAGCAGAAATGATTCCCTTTTGATTCTTCAAATCAAACAGGCACAAAGTTAAGTCCGTTACGGAATGGATAGCAGACCACAGAAAGGAATGGAACAATCATATTGAAATAATGGAGGAGAAAAGAATCGTGAGAATTACTAGGGATGAAAGGCCGAGGGGAAGAAGAGAAGTTGGAAGACCAAGGAGAAAATGGAAAGACACAGTATAATTCTTAGAAAGGAACAAGTCTTAAGACTTTTTAAGAAGATGAAGAAATCAGACAAGCTGACGTGTAGAAAAATTCAAAAAATTATACTTGGTATTCAAAAAACGTCAAGTATATAAAACAGAAAATGCAACATTCGAATACATCGCAATTAAATTCGAAACTAGAAACATCAAATAAAATGAGTAAGTAATGGTGACTTTTTATATATGGAAATATGGTTCAGATATTTAAAAAAATTATAAAAACCTAGAATGGGCTAAATTGTTTCATCAAAACACCTAAAGTGTTGTTTATCAAATCCTAGCCCAAATTATTTATTATAATTTAGAAATCACTTAACTTTCCTTCACTTTCGGTGTATTGCATCCAGGAAGACATAGCCCAGATATTGAACTCGTGACACATCACTGTTTTTCGAATTTGATTGATGTTGTTGTACAAAATTTAATAAAATATTGTACAATTTTAAACACAAAAGGTAAAGCATGCAATAATTACCATGGCCTCCTTCAAGGATACCCTTTTCATAATCGGAGCCAGCTGTCAGAGGATTCACAATAGCAGCAGATGTATTCACAGAGTTACGAGCTGCCATAAGAAATATAGCACGTGTCAGTTTCACCCATTGCCCATGCACCTCCTGCTCCAGCCAAACCACTGACTCAATGCTTGAGCGGCCAACCCAGGAAACATGTCCAGAAAGCCGAATATCTGCATTGTGCTGAAAGAATGACACGGTATACATCATGGGTTCATCATAGAGTATAGGTTGCCCTGCCCTGCAATGTGGGATATTGAGGAAAGGTTGAATCATCCAGGTGTAGGGAAATTCTTATTTGTTACCTGAACACTATTAGACTAGAATTATTTCCCTGTAGCAGTTTTTGAGACTTTTCCTTTCTCAGAGCAGAATTTTAGGAAAATAACTGCTACAAAATTAAAAAACTGAAGTGAATGTGAGGTGAAGTGAAAGACATATTATATGTAGTGTGTAATCTACATAGGAAAAGTACTGAATGAATACCATTTAGAAAAAGCCTGGAGCAGTAGAGTGCAATGAAACGAAAGTCAGTCAGTCTGTCAGTCCGTCCGTCGGTCGGTCCGTTCGTCCGTCGGTCGGTCCGTCCGTCCGTCCGTCGGTCGGTCGGTCCGTCCGTCGGTCGGTCGGTCCGTCCGTCGGTCGGTCGGTCCGTCCGTCGGTCCGTCCGTCCGTCCGTCGGTCGGTCCGTCCGTCGGTCCGTCCGTCCGTCGGTCGGTCCGTCGGTCGGTCGGTCCGTCCGTCGGTCCGTCCGTCCGTCGGTCGGTCGGTCGGTCGGTCCGTCGGTCGGTCCGTCGGTCGGTCCGTCGGTCGGTCCGTCGGTCGGTCCGTCCGTCGGTCGGTCGGTCCGTCCGTCCGTCGGTCCGTCTGTCGGTCCGTCCGTCCGTCCGTCGGTCCGTCTGTCGGTCCGTCCGTCCGTCCGTCCGTCCGTCCGTCCGTCCGTCCGTCGGTCCGTCTGTCGGTCCGTCCGTCCGTCCGTCCGTCCGTCTGTCGGTCCGTCCGTCCGTCCGTCGGTCCGTCCGTCGGTCCGTCCGTCGGTCCGTCCGTCCGTCGCTCCGTCCGTCCGTCGGTCCGTCCGTCCGTCGGTCCGTCCGTCCGTCGGTCCGTCCGTCCGTCGGTCCGTCCGTCGGTCCGTCCGTCGGTCCGTCCGTCAGCTACACTTAAGTGTTTTTTCTAAGCAACTTTGATGTGCTTTATTATCTATTCACTAGTGTTTCATGCATTGGGAAAAGTGTTCATTAATTTTGTATATGATTACATTATTATAAAAGGTATCATTTTTATCACTAGTTTGGATGTGCATTCACTGAATACCCTTACGTTTATATGTATGAGTTCGTGTACTGGTGACAAAATACATGTAACTAACTTCTTGGACATGTAGAGGGGTTTCCTCTTCTAGGGCATGTACTAGGAAATTACATACAATAGAGTTACATATTTGGCAATTTCCCCTGGTTTTTGGCAACTCCTTTTGCACAGGTGTTGGTCAGAGCATGCTTTATAGCTTTCATTAATCTACAGAACACCTGTGCATAAAGTGTTGCCTAAAAATGTACAACCAAATCTGCACAAAAATTCCCAAAAGGGACACTTGCAATAAGATGAAGGCATTGACGTTTATGCAAATATTAATTGAATTAATGAAAAAGAAAAGATAAATAAATAAAAAAATTAATAATAAAATAATAATTAATAATAATAATACAATAACAATAACAATAACAATAATAATAATAATAATATAATAATAATTAATAATAATAATAATAATAATACAGCAGCAGCACTAAACATCACCTTCTGAAAAATGTAAGGTGAAACCATTAAAAATTAATGAGCATTATAAACAAGAGAAGAAAAATGAAAATGGATTGATCACAATAAGCTTCAAATAGGGATAGCAGAATGGAACAACATCAAAAATGGGCATGAGAAGAAAGAATGTCAATCAACCAATTAAGAACTTACCTGGGGTACCAAATCGGTAAAGTTAACTTGATCAACAAGAACAGTCACCAATACATATGGTGTTGGCACACCAGCTGGTTGCAGTGGATTGGAAATATGCTTTGCTGCCACCCAAACTGAATCGAAATATGTCATTGTATTAGAGGCAGACACAAAACGTTTACACCATACTTTAAACTGTGAACATTATAAGTGAAATAAATACAAGCATAATTAATAGAATTATTCTATGCCTCAAGAATAAATTCAAAATATTATGTAATATACTAATCCAAAAAGAAAGTAGTGGTATTACAGAATGGCACAGACTTTCCAGTATTAGTTTTCTATTTCCTTTGGTCTCAGTCAGCTATTCAGAGTTGCCACATGCTCATGCCTGCTGCCATCTATTGCCACCCAAAGAACAGTTTTTGAACATTTTGTTAATTTTTCTGTTTCCTAATAGTAGAAGAACAGATATATTATTTTAAGAATACTAAAAGAAAGTAAAACCTCGTTCTAAATGACAATTTTCTTAGAAAAATTTGAAGACTTTTTAAAAATTGGCATTTAAGCGTTACTGTAAATTCGAAATTTAAAGCTCTTTTCACATACAATTTTTGAGTTTTTGAAAAACTTCATTTAAAGTCATTTGAAGCACATTAACTCTTAACACAATAATGTTTACAAATTGCTGGAAATGTGCAAATCAACGGCATGAGAGATCTTCAAAAAAATTTACATTTGTGTATTATTTGAAAAAAACAAAAAATTCCCCCAAATGAAATTTACGTCATATTAAAGAATGCAATTAGCACTATCCATTCAAAATGTTTGAAGAAAAAATTTGGAGTATACGTAAAAATGGAATGCCGGAAAAAATTTCTGAACAATCATTGCTTACTGATGAAAGTAAGCTGATATTCCAAAATATTTTATTGCATCTCGAGATGATAAAACAGTTATGATTATTTCATTATTTATCTAACCATCGCAGTATTCACTTAATGGAAGCTGAATGAAGAAACCTGATTCAAATGGGAGTTGAAGTTGCAAAATAACTTTACAATAGAAGTTGTAAGCAAATTTAGTGTTTAGGAATTATAGAAAACAAAAATGAATTAAAGCATCAGTATCTATCATATTATAAACTTAATATTACTTTAGTCTTCAATACAATGTATCATCTCTAATTGTATAAACTATACTCTGATGCAGTAGTAAATATTTTACTTGGCTTCATCAAGGATTCAGTCAGATGCATATCTAAGTATTCAGACGCCTATGGCAAGCATAGAATGTGTGTCCCAGCCAGGACTCTTCAAATTAGGTTTGTTATTTGCAATTGCGGGTATACTGTAAATGGCGTGCAATGTGAGGGCGGCCATGGCACGTGCTATGCCTGCTTTTGATTGAGAGTTTTAGAGGGCACATCAACTATTGACGTCATAGGCGCTTGTGTCAATGTATTACTATAAAATAAACAGATTTAATAAAAGGAATGTTGCAAATGCAAATTACCCGTTGATGGAAAGTGTGTAACCTAAAAAGTGGGCTTAAATTCTGCATAAAATATACATAATGGCAAGAAAAAATGGAGACGATAAAACGAATACGCAATATTTATAACAAACGTAGAGCTGACTAATTGGGGCAAGAAACATGTATACAATATTATTGTCCTTATTTCTCAAATAAAATGATAGATTCCGCTTCCTCTCAAAGAACGCGGCATCGTCATGGCCGAGCACCTCCCGTAAGGACTTGCCCAGGCCATGTCTTCGTCGACTGCCGACAAATTTCGTGCAATGCAGGAGAACGTGTTCCACAGACAGAACCGCCCTGCATGATCACAGATGGGAGGAGATTCACCTTCATGGAGGAAACCATGAGAAAAGTGGCACTGACCGAAGATTAAAACGACTTTCACGCGCCTCAAATATTGGGAAGAGGAATGCCAGGGATTAACAGATCCTTCATCACACTTCATTTAAAAGTAGTATTCTGTCACTGTGGAGGAAGCTGCGGATCCGTGAACTTCACGAGCGTAATCCAAAACTGAACGGATGAGGGCTCTACACAGATGCAATAAGCTAATGTTGTCGGATCCTCATGATGTACCACTCAGCATAGGAAGAAGATTAAGATGGGAGACACATCTGGTTTGTAGTCTACGGATATGAGCACGTGAGGGATTTGTCAAAGGTGAAGATTTAGCGAACGGAAGCTGATTTCCTCCCAAGTAAAGGCCTGGACTGGTACATGCAAGTGGTATACCCTGCAGAAATGCGCACCAGTACATTTAATTGAAGAAAAGTAAAACCCTGCTGACATACTCTATTCGTGGAGTTTGTTGAGCACCAGTTGAAGTTGCCTGTCGATGACACTAATGCTGCTGGATGAACAAAAGATGGTATTCCTCGCACAGTCAACGCTATACGATTTGACAGTGGCAAACACAGTGACATTCGGAACCTATTTTGACCAGAAGAGACCACTCAGACCCATTGCAGACCCATTGGTGGCAATGATCGACCTTTCCCTTCTTTGGGAACTCTGGCGTGCTCTTCCCAGATACGGTTGCAGAACCGGAGGAGAAATAGCGTGGCCGTTTCAGGAAGATATAGCATTGTCATGGATTTCATCTGGACCTGGGGCAATTATTATCGCAGAGCGCATTTCGCACGTGGAAAATGGCATAATCCTCATGTGCTTTGCGCGAAAAATGCAAAGCGCGCTTTTCCATTCTTTCTTTCAGCAAAATAAAGTAGGGAGCATAGATCGCGGAACTCGTGTTTTCGCAATGAGCGGCAAGTATCTCCACAATTCCGTCTCGAGATGTAATCATCTCACCATTCTTCAGAAGACCTGACTCTGAATGTGAGGAATATCCCTTAATTTGTCGTACCTTCCTCCATATCAGATGTGGTGGCGTATGGCAATTGAGAGAAAAAACTTATGCTCTCCATCTTTGAATTTTTACTTTCTACAATGGTTTTCCTCGCCTTCGCTCTGCACCTCTTGTAATCAATTAGATTATCCGCTGTTGGATACTGTTTCACACACGCCAACGTCTTTCTACGGGCACTGACCGCCCTTGAGCAGTTCGAGTTCGACTACGGGACGAAGGGGTGTCGCGGTTTACCCGTCGACTTGGCAATTGCAATATCCGCAGCTTGTAGTACAGCAATTCTAAAATGTGCTGCCATGCCGTCAACACAGTCAAAGTGGCCATCTGATTGACACACGTTTGAAATGTCGGCCAGTCAGCAGGTCGTACACACCTTGGGGGTCGAGCCAACTCATGTACAAGTCCATCTATGTGTGTTGTAATGGTCGCTTCTAAACACGTCGTCAACAGGAAACTCAGCGTACTAGCGTGTCTTGGACTAGATAGCAATAAGAAACGCAAGTTTTTGTTGTTGTTTTTTAATTCTGAAGAAATAATTAAGTAGAAGCTATTGAGTAAAAAGGAGTATGGTACGCAGAGGTCGTAGAAAGAGAGAAAGAAAACTGAGATTGTAAAAGACGAAGGTGTGCATCACTGCAAACTGAGCCGTAACGTTCCAAGTGGAGCTTAAATTTTCTACCGAGCCGTGCTGAGCGAGAGATAGGGAGCTGGAGAATCAAGAAAACGCGCACAGTACATACTGCCGCACGTGAAGATTGTAGTATCCACAGCGGATCCTCTCTGGAAGGTAGGGGAGATGAAACGTCACGATCAGAGTGGGAGTGGGATCTCTCTCCCATGCTCATTCCTCTTGATCCCGAACACTTCCGTTATGGCCCGACACTTAACGAAGGACAGAAGTCCCTTCTCACTTTCCGAAGCAAAATCGTCATGATTGACCACTCCCTTACAAAGATTAAGGATGAGGTGAGTGGTCATTTCCACATGGAGTCTGGCAATCTACTTAGTACTGAAAAACTTTTCGTTTTTTCCGGTGAGCGCTTCGAAGAACGCACAACCGCCTGGAGCTTACCGAACGAGTCCTCTATTGTTCATGCGAGAAGGCCTGCACTCACACTCTTGAACTTCTTTCCTTCTTCCGCGGATGCCATCAGAACGAAACGTGTTTTTTAAGATTTATCCTCTTCTCTGAGGAAGAAACTTCTGAAATCGACTGTTCGCTCAAAACATCGTTTCTTCCTTCCGGAGGAGGGCAAGGAGTTGGCTTTATGCTCCACAGAATTGAAGTCGTTTTGTCTCCATGCTCCCCACCCACCATGGAGTCAACAAAAGAACACCCCACCGGGGTGCCAGGCTTGACACGGAGTAATAATGGGGGGATAACTCAGCGCTGCCAGCCGTGGATTCGCCCGCTCGGCTTGGGGTTGAGTACAAGATCAAGTCCGTGCCGACTGCCCGTCTAGAGTCCGAGGCCAAAGCAAGTGAATTGATGCCTACAAGGAACGTTCCCTCAAAATACGTACACAACGTATCCCTAGCTGCAAAGCATAAGGGGTAGTTTGGAAATAAACAGACCCCTCAACCGCCAGGAGACACATTTCCTTTCACATGGGTTGCCATGCATGGCAAACACATGGGTGGACGTTGAGCATACTGAGATGGCCGGTGAGCAAGGGAAGAAAAGGGGGTGATAAAAGGATAAAAGAATATAGGGCATATGAAATGAAAACAAGAGGATTATAGATGGACAAAGGAAACCATGAGAGCCTTCACTGCATGGACAAAGCCATCTCGATGGAGCCGTGCCACACCGTAGATACCCATCTGCATACAGCATACCAAAGATGTGAATAAACATACAAATGACATACTGGTGAATGGTGTACTTTAAGATTACAAATAATTTCTGACCTGCAAACATATCCATATCTTCCATTAGTCTTCCAAGTCGCACATGACCCAGAAATGTAACATATTTTTCTTGCATCAGGACATCAGTACTAAGAGGTACAAAAGCTTCACAGAAACTATCCTGAAAGTGAAAAGAAAGATGAACATAATAAATGCAATATAACTACATTCCACCTATCAAAAATTATAAAGATAAGTAATAGAGGAAAACGGAACAACTAAGCCATCAACATGGTATATTCATTCAAATTAAATATTTAAAACATTCAATAAGAACAATATTCAATTCCTTTGAACATTCAATTTCCTTTGAAAGATCCACTGAATCTGGACTTATATCTAATATTGATGAATTCTCAATGATATCAGTCACGTCTGCAAATATGTGCTGCTCAAATTCTCAGTTCAGAATTCTAGATTTAAGATTTATTTAGTCAAAAACCAGTAAAAACTGAATGTAACATATGGGGGAGATGATGTGGGAAGAAACGGCAAATGTTCAACAGTAAAAGTTTTATTACTGGGGCCCTGTAAAGAAAAAGTGGACGAATATTTCTCCTATATATAGTAAATCACTTCCTCAAACATGTAGAATAGTTAGAATCCATGTTTTGTGGGCTCTCGATTCTGAAAAATAGATTATCGACAAAATGTCTGTCTGTGAATAACGCTAGCAGCTAAACTGTAAGCAGGATTTTCACCAAAATTGATAACCCCGAACCAATTTGGCTGATTTCGCTGCCCCTTTAATGTGAAACCATTATTTAAAATTTGGAAGGTAGTCTGCATTAAGCCCCAAGGAATATAGACAACAATATCAAAGAGTAGAAATAATGTATTGGAATAATGGAACACAAATTTTCTCTCCTCGCCAATTCATTGCCAACTGCACATAAGGCCTTGCAGGATTTGATTTTAGGCCTATTCTCTTCCTACTAATATTAACGTATTTATACAGACTTAACCCCAAAATACTAAAAATTTTATTATCAAATGAATAAACAATTTGTTAAATTTATTTAAGAATCAAGATCTCGCAAGATTTATAAATGAATTAATATCAGCATAACTTAATGGGGGAAATATGGAATCATGCCGAGTTTTGATAATCTGGAATCTGGTGAATAAAGACCATACATGGCTCTCTCTGATGTCATTTTTGAAGTGGCTGTTGATGGCTGAGTTACCAAGAATGTTTTTAATGAAGTATGGGAGAAAAATTAATTAATTACTTTGTATAACGAACATGCATCATTAAAAATTCTATGAGATTCCCATGAACACAAATTAATACATTTAGCTAACTAGCTGTAATCATGCTTATACAAGGGATTTTGGAGATGAAATTTTGAAAGCAATGTTTGGAGAGAAAAAATAGGCTGAATACTTTTGATTTGCTTAATGGGAGTAGCATAATGAGACCATTCTGGCGAGACATACATTAAAATCCGTATCATCACAGTGTTATACCAAGAAATAACTGTTGAAAATGAAGTTAAGTTGCTGCTATTTCTTTTCACAAATGCAAGAAGTTGCAAATATTTTATAACAATGTATTTGATGTGATCTAAAAAGGTGTCTTCCATTAAAGAATAACATCTTTAATAATTTGCACATGTTGAAGAGGAACATCAGAGTGTGAACAAAAATGTGTTTGGATGATCTCTTTGGATGAAAGATTTATCGACATTAAGATATATTGCATTAAGTGGGCATCATTGAGCTAATTTATGCCAGTTGTTAGTAGTAAGCAACAAACATCCAATTTTTCAATAACACAGGAAAATCATTAATAAAAATTATAAACAGTAAGTGGGAACGCTGAGGCACACTGCACGTAACTTCTATTTTATCAGAAACAAACAGTGTATACTTTACATATTGTTTATGAGTTGTCAAATGAGAATAGATCAATTTAAGAAAAGATCCAGTTATACCTTCGAGCTTCAGCTAGTTTAATAATAAGTGAATCAAATGCTTAGGCAAAATCTATATTAATAGCATCAACTTGTTTTCTGTTTTCCATTGCTGTATACAAATAAGGAGTATAATTTAATAAGTTGATTTCAACAGTTTTCTGTAGTACAAAACCATGCTGCTCACTAAAAATTTGTATATAAATAAAATGTTTGACTCTGTTGATTAGTATTTTTTCAAATATTTTGGGGATGACATTTAAAATTGAAATAGATCTACAATTGTTTGCGTCAAACTTTTTGCCCAGCTTATAGATTGGCGTAACATAGCCTATCTTCCACAAGTTCAGAAAAAGTTCTTCCCTCACAAATAATATTATTTGTGATTTTTAATATTCATTAAAAATCAGCGATAGATTGGAAAGAACCTTTACACAATGTTTACAAAAGATTGATGGGATACCACCTGGACCTGGGCCTTTGGCTTAATTTAAAGATTCACTCAAGATCTTACAGTATGATACTTCATAACTGGACAAAGTATGTTTGACAAATATCATTTGCTTTAATATCAATTTGATTATTGCACCTTATAGTTGGTTGAGAATAGGTAGATTTAAAATACTTTACAAAAAAGTTGACAGCTTCAGTACCATTTGTAGATTTTTATTGTTATAGTTTATTTCAGAGTGTAAACCATAATCCTTCCTTTTGCCATTTACAAGATACCAATAGGATTTAACATTGTTTTAGTTGTGTTCTGAGTATCCTAAATATAATCTCTACAACACTACCTCTGTAGATATTTTATATTGAATCTTGTATTTATTCAATTGAATCGTTGATGAGAAAATTTATTAGCTTCCATCAATAACATTAATTTTTTACTCTGCCAGTAAGGATATTTACATGTATTTGTTTATTCTTTTATTAATTTATTTATTTATTCATTTATTATTAGTAGTAGTATAGCGAGTTATATTACACCCTATGGTGTCTCTCGCATCCCAGCCTCCACATATTTCTATCGGAGTAGTCTTCATTACTTAATCCTCTCTTCTCCATTGCCTCATCCACTCCCTCTCCCCATGTAAGTCTAGGTCTTCCTCCTCCTCAATGGGAATAAAGAAATCTAAAAGTCTGGGAACTATAAGATGTATTTCCCCAGAAGATTATGCCATATCTCAGGCAGGAATGAACATTCGCGAAATATACACAGCGAGCAGTGTGTAGGCTGACTGAATTGGAAAGAATTTTGAAAGCGTAGCATAAAGAACTTTATTTAGTGTTCAATTCATTGAAATGGACGTTCCATTTAAGGTTTGACTGAATTGAGAGACCTAAAAATTCTGTTATCTTAACATCAGTCAATGGCACACCATTCATTTTCAGGGAAGTGCAGAGCTGTTTATTTGAAATGAAAAACTGCATTGAAACAGTATAATTTTTTTTTAAGGCAACCACAGGAACAGTCACTACCAATGAAAAGACCATGACCAATTCAAAACATTAAAGCAAAGAAGGGTTACGAAACTGAAATAATAACTGGAAGCAACAAAAAACAAAGATTGACATCAGGAGCCAAATATAAAAGGCTGTTCATAGTCAAGTTAGCAAAAAACACCAAAACAGAAAATATTATAAAATACCCAAAGGAAAAGGAACAGGAGACATCAGATGTGAACAATTAACCACAACGGGTACGATAAAGCATTTAAATTATGAATTCCATATGAATACCATTAGAAAATGCACTGCGGGTGGAAGAAAGAGAATATGGCCCTTTTGTAGACCTTACAGAAGGCAAGAAGGTATCGGATTACAAAAACAAGACTAAGATTAAAATATCAGGCACTATGCTAAGAGTGGAAACATGGAATGTGAGAGGAATCACATATGAAGAAGAACTTAAATTATAAACCAAAACCAGGAATTTAGACTTAACTCTTATTTCAGAAACAAAAAAGAAAAGTAAAGGGACAAAGGAACTAGAATATCACTATCTAATTTACTCAGGGATCAAAGAACAAGAACATGCAGCAATAGAAGTAGCACTGCTGGTCAAGGAGTGGAAGAATAACACAGAAGTTTACAATTGGACATCTCCAAGACTAATAACAATCAGAATAAGAAAGGAATTCACATGTTGAATTTAATAGGAGTATGTGCACCAGTGGAGAGCAGGTGAGAGAAAATGGTTAGCTTTTATAAAGAGCTACAGAAATTGGTAGATATGACCAACAAGGACGAATTTCTTACCCTAGCAGATCTCAATGTCAAAATTGGAGAATCAGAAATGCCTCCATGCAAAGGACCCAAAGGAGAGAAGACACTCAATGAAAACAGGAAAACACTAATATACTTCTGTTTGTTCAACAACCTAAGAATCACTAATAGCTTCTTTAAACAAAACGAAAAACAAATTCACATGGGAGGCAAGAAATCAATTATTGATTATATAACTGTCAGTGACCTATTCAATAAAGTCAAGAATACAAAAGTGTTTCGGGGAAGTGAAATTGATTCTGATCATCATCTTTTAAAAAACAAAATTCAACTGATCTCACATGCTGAAAATAGAAGAAAGGAGAGAAAATTAACCCCCAAGCTCAAAGTATATCTGCTAGAGGATGAAAGCATTAGAAACCTGTATGAAAGATGATTAAAAGATGAATAGATAAAGAAGATATTGAAACACTCTGGAATTCAATAAACAAGCAATACTTGCTGCAGGGAAGGAAAGCATGGGGATAAAACCTTGCAAGAAGAAGAGATGGTTGAGGAAATGAGACGGTGAAATTAAGGAAATAATAGCCCACAAGAAACAAGCTTATAAGACCAACCTGCAAAAATGAACATTAAAACATTACATAAAATACAAGAAAGTAAGGACCAAAGTAAGGCAACTTAGCTGAAGGTAGAGAAGAGAGAGTTGGAGAGCATACATTAACCACCTGGAGAGAGACATCACAGGTCCTTAGAGAATAGGGTTCAAAATTCTGAAACATCTTAATATGAATACAAAAGATACACTCTCACCAGAGGAAGATTGGATCAAACACTACCACACACTTTGGTAAAAAGAAGGAAGTGTCAACAGAAAGGAAAAGAAACAGAACAGACATACATTGACGATCACAAAAATAACCGAATAAGAATGTCAGAAACTGAAACAGTACTAACAAAAGCAAAAAACAGAAAAAGCCTAAGAACAGAAGTATTAAATTTAGAACTAATAAGATATGAGGGAAAGAAACTATAAGAAACCCTACTTGAACTGTTCAATAAAATTTGGCAAGAAATGAAAATACCAACAGATTGGCAGGATGGACTAATCATCAATATTCACAAAAAGAGCTCTAAGAAAGACTGCAACAACTGCAGGGGAATCTCGTCTCATCAACAACTTCAAAGATTTATGCAAATATATTAAGGAACAGAATCAATGAATTAAGTGAGAAATTTCTGTGTGAGGAGCAGCATGTCTTCAGAGGGAAGGAACCCCAAAGATGCCATCTTCACATTCCAAATGCTCATAGATGAAAAGAAAAGGAGAAAACCTACCTACATTTGTAAGATTTGTGGACAATGGGAAGAAATTATGGGAAATCTTGGAAGAGGAGAAAATCTCACATCATTTAATTAAAGCAGTACAAAGCCTTTATGAGAAATCCAGAATAAAAGTGCAGACAGGAAAGGGGAGAAACTCAATATCAATAACAACTACCAGTGGCCTCAGGCAAGGCTTCGGTTTATCACAGTTTCTCTTCAACATCTACATCAACCACTTAATGAGGAATTGGTGGAAGAAGAACCAGGGAATTTTAATCGAAGAAGATAGCAAGATTTTCGCTTAGGATGGGATGATTTGACAGCTAGTGCTGAACACAACAACTGACGATTCTGTGTCCTTGAAATTAATAGACTCTCCTTCCTCACTTCGTTCGTTTGCAGTTGGCTAACGTGTAAGAAGCCACGACGCTCCCTGCTGGATGTCCTCGTCCGCGAAAATATAGTGCGCCACGAGAAATAATTGAAATTAGGAAGTGCAGAGCTTTGTGGTCTAATATGTAAAAATCGTTTTTTTTAATAAAAAATATATTGAATTTAGTTTTTAGAATATTAGTTTAAGAATATTAGAAGTTTAGTTAATATTTAGAATTTAGTTATGCAAGATTGACAATCCTGTATGCATATGATCAGGAAATATAGTTGAATCCAAAGACAACTTACAGAGGGCAATTTTTCCAACCATCAGAAGTTGGACAGGAATATTCCATGAGAACATCATAAGCAAAACAAAATTAATGGTAAGTCAAGAAAGGAACAAAGAAGAGTTAAAATTAAAATAAATGGGGAAATAGTAGAGCAAGTACGAGAATTCAGCGAATAGACCCACAAACTTACCCCGGAAAACAGAATTGATGAACTAAACCAAAGTCAAGGAGACATCAAAAGAAAAGTACATAATTACTACAGAATGTGTTGTACCATTAAAAGACACTTTGGGAAGGATATAGATTCTATCACAAAATTGAAACTTCATAACATCACAGCTAAATCAATGCTTCTATATGGTAAAGAAACGTGGGTAATGATGGAAAACAACAAGCAGAAAATACAGGCAATACAATGGCCCCTCACTCGTCGTACTGTAGGACAAAATGACTCAAGAAAACCTGCAATTAATAGACTGACAACAGATTTCAACAAATGAAGAACACATGCAGCATAGATTCCTTATAAGTAAACTTCAGCTACAACATCTTAAGACAAAAAAAGGCTTGTTTTGTTGATTCTGATTTTCTAAATCCATGTCTGAAAACATTTTGTTTTTCATGAAATTTTTTTTTATTCATGTATAGGTAAGTCAAATTTTGAAATTCATTTTTGTTTTTCACTAAGTTGCCAAACATTTGCTGTTTCTAAAAACGGTTTAGAAACCATGTTTGGAAAAATGGGCAAAATATCAAACAGTTCTTTAGATGAATATTATAATGAGAATCAGTTCAATTGAAAATGGACAGCAAACAAGGTAAAAGATGCTAAATCAATATTGAACAATTTATATCGATTGAATGTTGGATATTTTCCAGCAATCAGTAACTCATTACACCCATCAGAATAGACTCACAGGCATAAAATGCAATGGATCTAAGTGCCAAATTCATTACAAAGACATAACTATTCTAAAACTGACAGCCTGATGATAAATGTAATGGAAAAACTATTAAATATATTAAGTATTAAAACAAATGGTTTTTGTTAAGCATTTGCTTTGTTTGAGATATACAAGTTTTCTCATTGTACTATTAATTTTATCACAAATGGATAAAACTTGTTACAATCTCTAAAATGAAGTACAGAATTAAATTTGAATTAATATTTCATCTTTTTATCCCAAAAAATATTATAGTAGTGATGGTAAAAGTATTCAAATTTATTGAATTTTCTACAGAGTAACATTGTATTCAAAGAATGCAAAATGTAAATAATAATAATAATAATAATAATAATAATAATAATAATAATAATAATAATAATAATAATAATAAATCAAATAAAACAACTCCTGTCAGTTTACATTATTATAAATGTAGATGTTTCGACCTCGAATGTGGGATCCTCTTAAACATCTAATTTATACAGACATAAACTGACCGTAATTATAGTTTTTTAATTGAATGTTTGGTTTATCCAGTGATCTCTGAATTATTAAATGCAAAAATAACTTCACAGATGAACGGTTATACACACAATTGGCCAAGGGCTGGAATTTTACTACAGATTAGTCTCAAAATGTTAGAGAAAAGATGATTTCTGGGGGCAATTTCAACATCTCATCATATATGAACGATTCTATTCCAAATTTAATTAATTTATTTTTTTATTGTGACCGATATTTTGAGAATAACAAGCCCTTCTTTTGTTTTAATACTATACATGACCCAAAGAAAAGTGAAGTTATCTTACAATGGAAACAGAATTTACCTGCATGGTACGTGGTGGAAGTTCTTCTTGAGTTTTCGGCAAGTACTTTAGTAGATAATCTCTACTGGACTGTAGAGGGTGGTATCCCAGTTCCAGACCCATCAATTCCATTAGATTTTGTTTCACTGTACACATATTTTAACAGAAATTAAGGTTTCATATGAAATAAGCTTAAAACTGACCATGAATGGAATTGAACTGAAGTTTAAAACTTACCATGGCGTAAAGTTGGACCTCTACTAGGACCACTTTCTACTTTTCTTTTCCTGGAAATACATATCCTCTTTTAATTACTGTGTATAGATATTGGTACATATGACAAGTCTTCGCAATACATAGTCCTAATAACTCACAAAAATACTTACAGTATAACGTTGAGGCCATTCTCAATTCTGTGCGTATTTCGGCACAAAATCTTCGTTAACGTAGACGTCATGTTCCCGATCTAAAATACCTGCGAACTTTCGTCGTAAACAGGGGCAGAAATTTAAGAGTCGAAGTTCGAAGTTCACCGTTCCGTGACAGCACAGCTTTGAATGTTGTATGGAGCGTCACAGAATGACGTAATGTTCAAATATAAAGTGCATTCTTTGGCTTCATTTAACCAAAACACAATTTCTTCTAGCCAGCTTGCAATTTACACACGGTAATACCTTCTTTGGTTAATAAGAATGAACCATGAACGAAACATTGGAGTTCCAATGAAGATACTTTTATAGCTGTTAACAGGTATATAATCTAAAAATAATTATATGTAGGATATATATGAAGTGACGACCATGTTCTATAAAACGACATCAATATGCGAACAAGCAAATGACAGTATCTTAGACATTAACCACGCCTCAATCTGACATGCCGATTGCCGAGAGTTGCCGAGACAGTGTGTACCGTGTATAAATTCACACTCGCGCACATGCGTAATGTCCGTAATGTCACACGCACTGTATATTAAACTGAATATAGCATAAACGATTGTCATTTCAATGATGTTTACATAGTTGACCAACTGTACGGCAATACTCGTAAAATGGGAAGCTGCTTGTTGTAGATTCGCGTTTTCTGTTGGTACACCTACATCCGCGATTTCGTATGTTCGACGCTGGTTGGGCATGAATACCATGAATACAAGATATTTATCGTAAAGAAGCATTTGTTGTGCGTGTCCAGTGAATTATTGTTTGTATTGGAGTTATAGTGGAAAAGGTAATACCTGGCCTATGATCGTTTTGGGCATAGACTTTTTGAAGACCTTATAAACTGTAGCGTGCTCGTTACCTAAGCCGGTCTTTCAATGTTTCGTCTAGTTTTAAAACTAAAAATTAAAATTCTCTTGGAAAAAGATTCGTAACGTGCTACAAACAAATCGATTTATTAATTATTATTAAAATTTTTATTTGATCGTTTTTCCTTCGAAGCCACTAGCACCGTTGAAGATAAGACCAAAACTTACGGAAGTGAAAAGTTTTGTCACAACTAATTATTCACTCCTCTTCTATTGCTTGTTGTTGTTGTTGTCAACAAGTTATTACTTGTTGTCTTGTTATATTTCGTATTGTATGATGCGGTTTTAATAATGGACAACCTCCATAAAGGATTGATCAGTTTGTGTAATTCAGCGTATAAAAGCTTTGGCAAAAAGGTTCAATATTTATTAAACATTTTGAAAGAGATTCTCGATAAGGAATTAATTTAAGTTATTGATTTTCAATCATACCTATGATAAAAAAGTAACACTTCCAAATAATAATTAACTAATAAATACCTATTAAGCCTTAACTTTGCTTTTCTCTGTTTTTTAGCTTTGTGTTACCTGTTGATGTAAGGATAGGATTAATCTTTGTTTAATATTTACAGTGAGATTGGAAAATGGATGCTGAATTGTACGATGAATTTGGCAACTACATTGGTCCGGAATTGGAGAGTGATGAAGAGGAAGAAGAAGGGTTTAATGACCGAGAGCAAGAAAACCAGGATTATGATGTAGGTAGTGGAACATTTAAACATTTTGTGTTAATGTTTGTGAAGTAAAATTATACAATTTTTTTGTAGGATGATATGGACAATGAAGGAGCAGAAGACACTGATGTTGTGGCTCCATCAGCTGTAGTTCTTCATGAAGACAAACGTTATTATCCTGCTGCCCTTGAAGTATTTGGACCGGATGTTGAAACAATAGTTCAAGAGGAAGATAATCAGCCTTTGGATGTGCCACTTGTGGCACCAGTAAAACGAAAGAAATTTCAACTCAAAGAACAAGAATTGCCAGAAACTGTTTACAGTATGGAGTAAGTTAAAGAATTCTAAATCTTTATGAAATAATTTGTCATTTTTAAATAGAATTTAATTGTACTTTCCTTTTAACAAAAGCATATAGCTTCCAATTTCTAAAAATTGCAAGATTAAAATTCCTTGTAAGATTTGTTAAAAGAAGATTAATTATTTATCTTTTTTTCTCTCTCTTTTTTTGTTATTGTAGATTTCTTGCTGATTTAATGGACACTCCCCATTTAATTAGAAATGTGGCATTAGTAGGACACCTTCACCATGGCAAAACTAGTTTTGTAGACTGTTTAATGCAGCAAACCCATCCTGGACTGCGAACCATTGAAGAGAAAGCCTTACGCTACACTGATACCTTGTTTACAGAACAAGAGCGAGGTGTAGGAATTAAGGCTGTGCCTGTGACTTTAGTGTTGCCAGACACACGGAATAAGTCATATCTTGTTAATATCTTTGATACTCCAGGTTGGTAAACTTAGTCTGAATGTATTTACCCAAGTATAAGGCAAGTTTTTGTTCCTAAATATCTCGTTTAAGAATTGCAGGGTAATGGTATGAGTTGCGGCAGCGATGGTGTAACGGTTAGCGTACCGAACTGTTGTACCCAAGTTCGCGGGTTCAAACCCGATCAAAGTCGTGGATTTTTAAGGGCAAAAAAATCCTTCGTACGCTTTCCTTCGGAGGGGAATTAAAGCCGGCTGTCCCATGTTAGTAGATTTACTTGCATGTAAAAGATCCTCAAGCCTAAATGACGCCTCTGAGCTACATTCAAATCGCCTGTTTCTCGCCCAAGAAATACCTCCTTTCTCTCCTAGTTGGTGAAAGGAGCGTAGCGAAATTTGCGTGGTCAGACGGAAGAGCGGGCCTGATGGCCCGAGTCTCGCCACATAAAATGAGGCAAATTCAATTCAATTCAATGGTACATTCACAGATTAAGCCTAATTTGTTGGAATCAGAGTTTTTGAATTGCTGTGCCCTGACAGATAATGTGACAGAGCTCACCACCATAAAAGTCATCTTAAGCTCTAAGGCAATAATAAAAATATGTGGGCCTGATCCTAGGTTTCCTTGATTACTGTGCCTTGATGTGATCTGCTGCTCTTCCAATTAGTGTAAAATAATTTTATCTCTCACAAGGCACAAATCATTTATATTATTTTGAGAAACATAAATGAGCAGAATAAATACATACATACACCTGCCAAATGAATTTTAAGATGAGTAATCGCATAAAATGCGTTGGACAGGCTCAAGGATGTTTTATATTAATACGAGGGCCAAAGGCCAGGGCTTTGTCTCAACTTTGACTTTCGTAGCGAAGCGTCATAATTCCGCGCAGGTGAACCAGGACACCGCTGATTTTTTATTTACCTCTAAAACTAGTGTTTAAATCATTTCTATCTATCGTTCACAACACAAGATTCAGCAGTGAACGATACATACAGTAGTATTAAGGAGACAGTGACAGCAAAGGTTGTCAAGTCTGAGTTGCACTGTAAGCCTGTGATTACCATATGTGGTTATAAAAGGAATGAAATAATTAATGTGGTTGTAATGGACATCAGTTTATAGAGGAAAACAAACTATTGAAAAAGTTTGTCAAAATGTGCTTTACTTCTGAATTAATTGAGTGTGAATTATAGTCATGTGAATTCTTGTCATTATTTACTCCTCTTCTCTGCATCCATAGAGCATGCCCCTTTCAAGGGACGCATCATCAAGGATACGTGGGATATTTTATCACTTCTCGTATCATTTGACAAACTTTGCAGATACTCTATGCTTAGCATGACACTTGTTGACGCATTTAATCTAGAGTGAGCACAATGCAGGAAGTGAATACAGTGTTCAGGTTTTCTTTATAAAAGTCTCTTGTTGATTTAACCCCAATGCTAACATATGATATTACAAATAAATCGTATGTTCAAATTATGAAGTTGTGTAATAGTACTAATTGTTTTTGTTCCCGTATCTAAAGTTTGAAGGAGTTTCACTTTCATTGTTAAATTCAAAAATTATTTTATGTACCACTTTTATTTTCTTTGTAGAAAATTTATGTGGCTCAAGAAATTATTTATTTAGACAATAAAATTACAAATTGCTAAAATTCTGGCATTTAACAGATTTAACAAAATTTAAAAAATACAAAACAACCAGATACATATAACCATAATGCATAACACAGGTCTACAAAATGAATCTTCTTATAATCATTAGAAATATAAACATATTTTTTAAACCAGTTTTTATCATAGATTATGGTTTTGTATTGGGATTTGCACCATCACCCACCATTTTTATGCAATAGCGAATCTATTTATTACACAAAAAATCGTTCATATTCCATTTCCTTATAAATGGTGTCAGTAAAGCTTACTCAGAAGGGTAATGAACTTCCAGGTCTCTTGCTTCAGGATCTTCTCTGTATAACATTCAGGAGAAATCTGTCATCTGTGTAATTAAGGGACATTCGACAGCCCCAGTTTTTGAAAAGTTCACAAAAGGCTCTTGATTCCATAACAAAGTTTGATGATTTGTTTTTCTTGAGGAAATGTTTACACAACCACTGAAAACTAGTCTGCACATCTTGTTCTTCTGAAGACGTTGTTTATGTGAATGTGTCATGTTTTAAAATCTCTTGAATTTGAAAAGATTCCTTCCTTCACATTTGCTGCTCTGATTTTTGGAAATTTTTCACAAAGGTGGTGGATCGTCGGTTTGTCTTATCCAAGATCAACAATGTGGGAAAATCAGATGTGGCTCTCCTTAGTAATGTAACTACGCCCCATAACCATATTAAAGGTTATAGTTGTGAGCCTTGAGGCTTTGCAAGTTGGACACCTTATATAGAGCTACTTATAGAGATCATGGAGAGCTACTTTCTTATGATTCGGGACAATGGGAGTCACAACTCGCTTTCTGTGGGCTCAATGTGTGAAACTGATTGTAGTAAAGTAGTTGACGCAACAAAAAAGATAATGCTTTCTAATATTTTTTTTACATGGAAATTAATGTTTTTGTGTTTTTAGGCAAAAAGTTGGGGAAAATCCAAAAACATACATTAATGTGCCAAAAAGCTCTGAATGTATAAAGTATGCATTACATACCAAACATTTCTTATCTTATTTTCAATATTTTGTCATGAAACATACATATTTAAATTTCAGGAAGATATGACCATTAACAAAAAGCATGCAATTACATGAACTTCGGAGCTGGAGTCATTAGAATGTTTACCATTTACCGTTGGTACCCTATGTTAATCAAGGGGTACTTGAAATTTTAATATAAACATTCACAGGCAAACATGGTTTCGTTTGTATTTACAATTGGATCCCCAATTTTCATATATATATATATATATATATATATATATATATATATATCTATATATATATATATATTATATATATCTATATATATATAATATATATATATAATATATATATATATATATATATATATATATATATTATATATATATATATATATATATATATATATATATATATTATATATATATATATATATAAACAACAGTGAAATTCATACATTGCGAAGTGTGATATTGTTTATTCCACTTTACAATTTTCTTCAAAAGAAAAAAATCTTTTTTGAATTGTATACATAGTTTTTAATGTATACATATTTTTACTTGTTTTAAAGTGCATTGAATTTTTTAAAGAAGTATAATGTATAGCTCTGTTGGAGTCTTTTATGTTTGGCTCTGTCTGGAGTTTTTTATTGTCAAGGTTGTAGAAGTACATACCCTGTGGGAATTTTGCTGCCATCTAATAATAGTAATTATATTAGTTACTATCCCTCTAAGGCCCCTCCACTTTACGTCTGCCACTGCCACTAACCACATGTTTATCTCCAACTACCTCAAAATCAGTCCCTTTTTCCCCTCCCTAATTGATCTCCTTTTTATATCTTCTGTAGGTTTGCCACTGGTGAAGACCAGTGCATCCTGTATTGGTTTCTCAGAGTGTAGACGAATGCTATTTGAGCACCAATGAAGAGGGAAGATCTCCTTGAAAATGAGTTAATCAAGGGGTACTTGAAATTTTAATATAAACATTCACAAGCAAACCTATTTGGTTTGTATTTGCAGTAGGATCCCAATTTAGCAAAAAACTAATTTGGTCCCCAAAAATAACACTGTGTATTAATGCATTGAAATCCACATTAAAGGAAATTGAATTTCCATTTTTAACTAATAGAACTGCAAAAGAAATACTAATATCTGTTGCCTTATTCCATTTGAACTCAATTCACTACATCAAGAAAAGGAAATGGCTTTTTTAAGTTCGTAGATGCCTTAATTAACACAACATAACCTTGAGTTGGAGCATCATATTTTTTTCAAAGAAAGTCTCACTAAATTTGCAAACAAAAAAGTAATAGTTCCGACATGTCTGGTAGTTCTGCCCACCCTCTGACCATAGCACCCATTTTCTTAAAGATGATCTGCACTTACTACTATCAACATACTGATTAAATTTCAGCTTGGCTTCAAATATGATTCTTAGATCAACAGAGTTAGCAACTTAGTTCAGTTCTATCCTGTTTCATCTATATCGAAAAGTGATGGGGTGATGTCTCTGAGAGAAAGTGATTTGTGGACATTTTTCCATATTTAAGGGCATTTTATTTCTGGTAAATCGGTTACTAAAGTTATTTAATTACATTCTAGATGTTTTGCATTCTCCGAGGGTTTAATACTCATAAAGATCTTGTCATCTGGGAAGAGTAGTAAGTTTGAATTCAAAATATAGCAAACAAGATTGTTAATAAAAATATTAAACAAGCAAAGGTTCAAGTGTGATCCTTTTGGTACACCAGATGGAGTTTCATAAAGTTGTGACAACTGACCCCAAAAAATCCTGTAATTTGTCACACAAGTAATCTTTGATTCAAGCAATGAATCTCATGTTTAAATGCAAGTTAGTCAATTTAGTTATGAAAATTTTATGACTCAGTATGTCGAATGCCTTTCTAAAGTGAAAGTAGATGCAGACCACCTGGTGTCCCTTTTCCATTTCTACCATGATGTGAAGTAATTTCTATATAACGCTAAGATCGTTACAGAGGAATTTCCTTGCATAAAACCTGGCTCTCTATAATGATGGATCTCAGTACTCTAAATAGGTGGTTGGTAACTAAAGGTTTCAAAAAGTTTGCAACAGCATTCAAAATGGAAATGGGGCAATAGTTTGCAGCGCAACTATTTTAAACGGTGATACTACATTATCCTGTTTCCAAATTCGTGAAAACGTTGATTGTTGAAGAGACCTGTTAAAGATCAACCATAATAGGTGTGTCTACACACAATGACATGATTTAAGAAAGACATTTGGCATACCTTCAGCACCAAGCCCCTTACTGTCATCCAATTTCATGAGATCTTCATAAACATCTATGATAGATATCACCTATGGGTCAGATAGCTGTGAGCCTCCTGACTGTGATTGTGTATCATGATTTACCATTAAGCTATTGTCAGTGCAGAATGTAGGCTTACAAACAATTAGCAAAATATAATAAAATAATTTAATAATAATAATTTAATAAATAAAATTAAAAAAAATTGACCAAAATTATTTGATCTTTCAGGTCATGTGAATTTTTCTGATGAAGTTACTGCTGCCATGAGATTATGTGACGGGGTTGTACTATTTGTTGATGCTGCTGAAGGTGTGATGTTAAATACGGAGCGATTGCTTAAACATGCAGTGCAAGAGAGATTGGCTCTCACTGTGTGCATTAACAAAATCGACAGGCTGATTTTGGAATTAAAACTCCCTCCTCAGGATGCGTATTACAAATTACGTCACATTGTGGATGAAGTTAATGGTCTTCTCAGGTAATTTTTTAAGCTTTTTTAAATAGAAAATGAAGATAATTATTTCTTTGTAGGTTGAGAAATTGCGGTATATTTTGTATACAGTTATTTTATCTGTTGTGGCAATCAGCATTGAAGAGAAAATTAGACTTGTTGACCTGAAATTATATTAAAATCCTTAGGATATGTGATCTGGGTTTATAATGAGAAGAGTGTATGTTTTCTAATTCTTATTGTTCAGTTTATATTTGTCTCTGGTGAATAATTTTCATTTCAGTTCAAAAGAGAATTGATGAAATGAGTTGTTTGGCTAGTGGATTCCTCACAAAATATGAGGACTTGCACTTGATAAAAATAAATACTAATACATTACTTTTATCATGAATGGAATGTGTATTGAAAAATGCCAGTTATACTTATGTCTTACATATGCAATCAAATTAGCAATGGAAAAATATTTGTCAGAGATGCACTATTGTTTTGTAATCAGTCAAAATATCTTTTGGGGGCATACAAATATGATTTGAATGGTGACAGAAATAACTGTTATGTTTGGAATGTTGTGATGAATGAATTTTAACAATTAATTTCTTAGATTAAATTATAAACTTGTGGATAAAAGTTACTTTGTTTATTAATTTTCTTTTTCAGTCTTTATTCAGATGAAGAAAATTCATATTTTGTTTCTCCTCTTTTGGGAAACGTGTGTTTTGCAAGCTCTCAATATTCTGTGTGTTTTACACTGAAATCATTTGCCAGCATTTATTCTCAGACATACGAAGGAGTTAATGTGAATGAATTCGCCCGAAGATTATGGGGTGATATATATTTCAATAATAAAACGTAAGTTGCACGAAAAAGGCATGTTGCAATGCAGGAATAATCTTTTGTTTTTAATCCAAAATTGTTTTTGACAAATAACTTTGTTATGAAGGTTCATTTATACTTCTGTTACAGTCGAAAATTTACAAAAAAATCACCTCACAATTCAGCTCAACGCAGTTTTGTGGAGTTTATCCTTGAGCCTCTATATAAAGTTTTTGCTCAGGTGAGAATTAGATATTTTCCTTGCTCTTGTAATTAAAAGATTGCTAGTAAAATGCATGTTAAAATTATTGTAGGTGGTTGGTGACGTGGACTCTACTCTCCCTCAAGTCTTAGATGAGTTAGGTGTACGCTTGACAAAAGAAGAAATGAAGATAAATATTCGTCCACTATTGAGATTAATCTGCAGCAGGTTTCTTGGGGATTTTAGTGGTATGTAGAGTTAAAAACAAAAATTGTGTAATTTTCAGTTATTGTCAGAAATTCTGAATGTAGGGGGGAAAAGAATACATATCTTAGCAATGCTTAATATCTTCTTGACATGTGTCCAATTGTTTATATTGCAAAATACTTGATTGCTTGTATTACTCCAATTCTTACTATTGCTGCTGTTGATGCTAAGAAAGTTTCCTTTTAATAGGTTTTACTGAGATGTGTGTCCAACATGTACCTTCTCCTGCCGATAATGCCCGGAATAAGGTTAAGCACATTTACACTGGTCCCTTAAATAATGACCTGACAGAAGATATGTGCAACTGTGACCCTGATGTAAGAAAGCCACTTATTCTGTTAATTTTTGTATCTGTATTTGCTGCATATGAAACATAATAATGTAAATGTTAATATAATGTAAGTGTATCTCATTTATTGAAAATGCTATACTTATAAATTTGATGCCTGCAGGGAACATTGATGGTGCACAGCTCAAAAATGTACCCCACTGAGGACTGTACTTGCTTTCTGGTTCTGGCACGGGTACTTTCTGGAACCCTACGTGCAGGGCAGGAAGTGCGAGTACTGGGTGAAAACTACACATTACAAGATGAAGAAGACTCCAGGATTCTTACTGTAGGACGTCTGTGGATTTTTGAAGCAAGGTAAAAAATGATGTAAAAAATCAAGTTTGATGGAAATACACATTTTGAGGGTCCTTAGAAAAGAAAAAGTTGTGTGTGTGGGTTCTATTGTATTGTGATGTATAAAGCATTTACAAATTCACATGTTTTAAAAAACGTTAAATTAAGGAAACAGACATATTTTATTTTCTTAAAGTGTCGCTTTGTCAATGGATCAAAATGAAGCACCTATTGGAATGTTTTTAGATCTTTCAAAAACTTTTGTTGTCATTGATCAGAACATTTTACTTTCAAAATAACCTTTGTCTGGAATTTGTGGAAAATTGCTCTGAATTGGTATATGTTTGTATCTTAAAGAACGAATTACAGTACAGTAGATATACTGTACTGTAATTATGAAACATTATTTTGTCCCCTGGGCGATTCATTGGCAATTGCAAATGGGATCCTGTAGGGTTCAATTTTGGGTCCTATCCTCACCCTGCTATATAATAAATATATATACATAAATCATATGCCCTTGATGATTCAAAACGGAAGTTCTCTTTGTGGATTTTAAGAATATTATTTGCAATAAGGGAAACGTAAATAGTACAACATCAGATGTTTCCAATTAGTTTTGTGTTGAAAAACTAATAGTAAATCAAGGGAAAACAGTTTCAAAACTTTTTTCATTTCAAATAAACCCTTGTATTTTCTTTGAAAACAATCATTGTGCAATCGAATGATGTTAAGGTAAAATGTTTTGTCGCAATTCAGTCAAACCTCAAAACAAAATATCCGTTTAAATGAAATGAATACAAAAATTAATTAATTATGCTACGTCTGTCTTGGCTGTTGATTTACAAATTAGTGGTTTTGGTAAAAATGATTTACTCAAAAAGTGGGAACGTTTTTACAATGAATACAGATATATATTACTATAACCATATACATCAACTTAAAATCATATTCTTCAGGCATGAGCAACAACTTACTACAAAAATGAACATACAATACCTGTACGTTATTCTACAATATATTGCCAGATGACAATACATTTTTAAAAGCATTACGCTAGTTCAAGGTTCAAGTAAGGTCTTTTCTGCTGCATAACTGTTTCTAAACAATTAAAGAGTATATGAAGCACCAAAAAGGAAAGTAATATTGAATTTGTCAGGATTATGGGGAGTGTTTAAATAAAATTTGTGAATAGAATATTTTTATGCTTGAATGTTGTTGTTTTTTTATCTAAAGAATACATTATTGTAATAACAATCAAATGGCTATTACATCCTATGCGAGACTTATACAATGTTTTTGATTGTTGATTTTCTTTATCCGCAAACAGAATCGTGCTGACAAAGAAATAAACAGCTTTAATATCAAATCAAAAATACTCTACAGCTCCCCTCTCTGAAGGATCACTGATGATCTTTATGACATGGCGTCTATTTTAACCCTTCACTCAATGACTATCAGATTATGGCTCATCAACTTTGCCAAAATACTGCTTGATTTTCATGTGTTGTGATGTATACAGATTAATAATATCATCTGTCACTTTTTCTCGTAAAAAATGGTGTGGTTTATTGCAATATGATTTGTTCTCATCTTGTTCATATAGCTCTCCGGGTTTGTAGTAACAGCTATCACATCAAGTTAATGTTAATCCGTTGATCAAAGTGTGATCAAGGATCAGATTGATCTGTTATTCTTTCATCCATATAATTTCTCTGGTACTTTCAGCCAATAATATGTACTCTGCTTCCATAGTACTCAATGCTTCCGAGGTCTGCATTATGCTTCTCCAAAATACTGAGGACCCAGCTAACATTGCTGTATATCCACTGTAGATACTATTCATTCTGCATCAGAACATACAGTCAACTTTGTTTTGTATATTATTTTTTAATGTTTTGTCTCCTAATAATGTGCAGCATTCCAGTGATTTTAGTATATTATTTGAGCATAGCAGTGTCAGTTTCACGATAGAAAATGCCATGTCTGGTCTCGTGCTCCGAGACAAATGCAGTCAACCCTCATTCGCGTGAATTCCAAGGGTCTAAAAAAATCAAAGATTGTGTTGTAAAAATTTGTGTTATCCGATTATTATAAATGTCCATACTACAATCCCTTGCCAGGACACAAATTTTGTTTGTGTTATCATGAAATTTTTGTTAAGGGGTTTACTGGGTAAAAGTCCTTGAATGAGTTCTTGATTCAGCCAATCTGATAATTCCTTTTCGTCCAGAAATATTGGTCTAATTTCATTTGGGTTGCAATGCCTTTTGCATTTTTAAGTCCAATTTGATGGATTGATTTCTCAATGTAGTCTTCTTGTGTCATGATACTCTTCCATCATCATCTTTGCTGAACTTCATTCCCAACATATACAACAAGTCTCCAATACACTTTATATCAAAACATTGGTTGAGTAGTTATTTCACCTTTTTTCTTGATATCTTGTTCTCAGCAATATATATTATGTCATCTACATACACACTCAGGATTGAGTTTCCTTGCTCTATGTCCAGTTGATACACACTTGGATCAACTTGATTTAGCACAAATCCTAGTGTTGTCGGCTTTTCATTCCAGCATCTTCCTCTTTGTTTTAGTCCATCAATTGATTTCCAGACACTGAGTCGCTTCCCTAGTTTCAGTTGCTTGCTGACATGTTGATTGTTCTTTGGCAGCATTTGATTGTGGATCGTTGAGTTCCTGCTTTGAATACAGTATCATTTGATGTGCTATCTTTAGAAGGTCATTGTTTTTGCCTTTCTTAGTCAACTACATGCTCTCTTTGGGATTTTTGTACTGGATTGTTCATCATTGAAACTCTTTAAATTTTCACTTTATTGGTTATCAAATGTGTCATCCACCTGATAATCTTCTGATATAGCTCTGGCATCAGTGCCCTTTGAATGGAATTCCACAATGTCGTTTGATGATTTCTGAAAGTTGGTGCTTTCACTGTCTTTCCTTGAAGACACAGTCTCCTGACACTGATGACGATTCTTTCAGATTCAGATGAAGATTCTTTCTTGATTCAGAAATCCATGTGATTCTTTCCTTGAAGACACAGTCTCCTGATACTGAGACATGTATTCAGAAATCCAAACTTGGTATCCATGGCTTTTCAATGAATATCCCACCAATATTCCTTTTTTTCTGCCAGGGAGGTAATTTGGAATATTGTTTCTGCTTTGACACATGAACAAAAACTTCACAGCCTATTTCTTGCTAGTTGCTTTCTCCCTGTCCACAATTCACAAAGAGTTTTATTTGAGTCAAGTGTATTTGTAATTCTGTTATGAATATATGCTATATTGTTGGTTAGCTCATCCCAATGATTTTTTATTATTGTATTTGAGAGAAAATGTATTTCTGTCCCATTAAGGTACAAAGTTGAATTGAGCCGTGTTCCAGCTGGAAATTGGGTTCTCATAGAAGGAGTTGACCAACCCATTGTAAAGACTGCTACAATTACTGAACTCAACATCGCTGATGAAGTTCACATATTTCGTCCTCTGAAATTTAATACACAGTCAGTTATTAAAATTGCTGGTGAGTATTGAGGGTATGACTATCAAAGAATTAATTATCAGCTAATGCGCTTCAATCCAATATTTTATTCATATTTAGGTTGAAGAGAAATGGTTTCATTTAGTTTTAAATTTCAAAGGTTGAAGACAATTGTTATTGAACTGAATATTGGAATAAGTATTTTCTGCTAACAGGCAAAAACATTGAAATTTTTCATATGTAATACTTGCTTGTAATTTTATTTACCTCGAAACACCATTTGGTATGTTAATAATAAATTAAATTCTAGGAAACAATCTGTGGTCTCCAATGAAATGTTCTGTACTATTTATATTTATGAAATCAAAATTTAAGAATGTTATTATTTTGCAGTGGAACCTGTTAATCCTTCTGAATTGCCAAAAATGTTGGATGGGCTCAGAAAAGTTAATAAGTCTTATCCTTTATTATCAACACGTGTTGAAGAATCTGGTGAACATGTTGTTCTTGGAACTGGTGAACTTTATTTGGATTGTGTAATGCATGATCTTCGCAAAATGTACTCTGAAATAGGTTTGTATGTTTGTTAATATCACAAAGCAATTATGTTCTAGTTATACTTAGAATACTTTACAATCTCCTTATTGTTTTCTTTGTGAGATAATTTTTGTTGTATGCTTATTTATGTTTAATATTTTATTAATGATGTTGAAGAACACATTGTAATTCTTGCTTTATGCATTTTTTTAATGATGGTACATGTTATTCTCATGTACTACAGACTTTTTACTGCACATTTTATTATAATGCAGGTGAAATCTACTCTTGTTAATTCATGATCTGACTTTTTGAAGCTGTTCTATTTTAAAGTATTGTTCAGTAATGAGAAGATTAACAGTAACAATGACAACAACAATTAATTTGTTTTCAGAAAAAATTATCAAAGGAATTTTAATGATAACATATGTTGTTGTTTTTTGTTTTTTTTTTCAGATATAAAAGTTGCTGACCCAGTAGTTGCTTTCTGTGAAACAGTAGTAGAAACATCTTCTCTAAAGTGCTTTGCAGAAACTCCAAACAAACGTAATAAACTTACAATGATTGCTGAGCCGTTAGAAAAGGGTTTGGCAGAGGACATAGAAAATGAAGTTGTACATATTTCTTGGAACAAGTAAGTAATATTCTTGAAATAGTTGGAATAGATAATGAGGTAATAGCTTTAATCTTCTTGATGTTGCGGTGGTGGTGGTTTATTTTTTTATATATCTTGCAATCATTAAATTTCTGGTATGAAGTTTTTTCTTTTATTATTAATTTTAAATGAATGCTAACATTTGTGTGACCTCAACATTGAATTATATTTATTTGTTCCCAGGAAACGATTGGGAGAGTTCTTTCAGTCTAAATATGACTGGGATTTGCTGGCAGCACGTTCTATCTGGGCCTTTGGACCAGACCCAACTGGACCTAACATTCTTGTGGATGACACTCTGCCATCAGAAGTTGACAAAAGTTTGTTGAGCTCTGTAAAGGATTCTATTGTTCAAGGTTTTCAGTGGGGAACACGTGAGGGACCTCTTTGTGAGGAACCTATTCGGAATGTGAAATTCAAAATCTTGGATGCTGTTATTGCTGGAGAACCACTTCATCGCGGTGGTGGGCAAATCATTCCTACTGCTCGTAGAGTAGCTTATTCGGCTTTCCTCATGGCTACCCCACGTTTAATGGAACCGTATCTTTTTGTGGAAGTTCAGGCTCCAGCTGATTGTGTATCAGCAGTGTACACTGTGTTGGCAAAACGCCGGGGTCATGTTACTCAAGATGCCCCTGTACCAGGGTCTCCGTTGTATACAATTAAAGCTTTTATTCCAGCTATTGATTCATTTGGATTTGAAACTGACCTTCGCACACATACACAAGGACAGGCGTTTTGCTTGTCAGTATTTCATCATTGGCAAATAGTACCGGGAGATCCTCTTGATAAAAGTATTGTTATCAGACCGCTCGAACCACAACCAGCTACACACCTGGCCCGAGAATTCATGATTAAAACTCGGAGGAGGAAAGGTCTGAGTGAAGATGTGTCTATCAATAAGTTTTTCGATGACCCTATGTTGTTGGAACTTGCAAGACAAGATGTTATGCTTAATTATCCATTGTAGATAATTTGTTAAAAAAGACTCCAATGAAAAAATAGTTTTATTTGTTTAAACGTTCCTAGGAATGAAATTAACACCCTGAAGTCCTTAGGAGTAAAAAGTAAAAGTATATTTCTTTAAAGGGCTTTGTCTGTACGAAGCCAATATTCATTTTCTATTTCAATAGTAGTGATCTCTGTATATAGATGTGTATTGTGCTGGAATGAATCTAGTTTCAGATGAATGAAATATTTTTTTTTGATTTTAGTATGTGAAAACGAACTACATATTGTATCTACTTGTATTTCTCGTAAATCTTTAATTCAATTTCAATAAATTGGTTGATTCACATAAAAACACTTACTATGTACATAATTATCAATGATTGTTTTCATGCTGATTTTATAACTGAGCCAAGGTGCAGTAAATGTGTTTTGTAATGATAGTTTATTTCATCATAATTTGGATTTTAGTTATATGTACACCATTCTTATCAATAAAATGATTGAAAAATTCCCATTGTTGTACCTCATTAAATGAGTGAATGACTCCTGGCCAAACCCATTTATGGACAATAATGCAGGTCATAAAATTTCATGTAATGATATTATTTGTATTTAGCCTAACGGCTCAATTATTGTTCATCATTTCAATTATTTCTGTAGAGAATGGTTTTCTTCCATGAAATCACCCATGCAAGGTTTCATTATTAGATTGAATGCTTATCTCAGAGAAATAATTCTCTTCGCAGCATACCATGAAGCCATAGATCCAGGAACTGCTTGTAAAGCGATTGCACATGCAGCACATAAATGCGGAAAACCTTTGTGTTAATAGAAAATTATATCTTGTAGAATTCATGTATTTAAATAACACACTGTTAAATACAATTATCAATCATATTGATCTTATAGTATTTTGTAAGGTGTGTAACAGAAAAAGGAAGGAGAATATCTAGTTTTGAAACGTGTGACCCACAAGCCAAGTTCTTCTATCATTGATGCCGTAAAATCTGAATATCTGTTTATTATACAGAACACTTAAGCCCCACACTTCATTTCAAATTGTACTTAACCCCCCCCCAAATCCATTACCTTCATACAAATTTAAGTATTAATCCCTTAACTCATTAAGCCAATTGAATTATTTATGGATCACTATAAAGTAAGAGTGACTTCTATTGATGCTGCTAATTGTAGTTGATGAAGCTATGTTTTGCATAAATATTACTGTTCAACTTTAACTGAACCCTCAACTTCTTTTACTTTCAAACTGTAATCTAATTTTTAATTTTCTTACATGTCAGCTTCATGTCAAATAATAATGGCTAATTATTACCATTATTTGTCTTCGTTTTTGTCCATTTTATTTTGTGACTTAGGTATTCAAAAGTTTGTGATGAAATCTATTATTCAGAAGAATGGTGTTCATGTAAAAATCAACTCAGGAATTCATTTTAATAAATTATATTTTCCATTTGTTTTTAATTATTGAAGAGTAATATTAGAAATCAACAAAATTTTTAAATGTATTGGCTATTGACATTTTTTTTTATTGATTTAACTACCATAAGTGTGTAAATATCACAAATTTGTAAGACTTATTTCTTGTAAATGGCGAAATTGGCACCTGTTATACTTTCATTCACTAATACCTTAGAGAATTGGATACACTGCTTTCTCTATGCCTAAACTATATTATTTTTGTGTGATTTAACCAATAATCTCCAGTTTTATTTAGTTTCATTTTCAAATAAAGGTCCGAGATTTTTAAACAGTTCGGGTGTGCAAGAAACTTCCTAGATTGTGTGGAGATGCATGAAACCTGGGGCAGTAGGTCATCCGGTAAAAACGAAACGTCATTGGGAGATCGGTACAAATCTCTTCTCATGGTTGCACAAGCAATGTGACATTAAACAATATTTTGCAGAATATTTTTAACCTGAGTGGTGACATTTCACAAGCATTTGGTACTGTTTTGTAGCCCGACGTTTTGAAATAGTTGCGAGTAAAAATACACGATTTTCTGAACATATGTATTTCGTTATTTAATTTATAAATGACCGTTTTTGAGATGTCTCGCTTCTCGTGTGCATCGATGGTACATGAACACAATGTATTAGAAAATACTCTGGCGTGCACTCGAAATGAGAACATTGTATGCTAACCCCCTAGGAAATCATTTCTTATCGAACTAACAGACCGGGATGTCCTCAGTAAATAGAGGCCAAGAAGAAATGTAACTAGTGGTGCTATAGAAAAGCATAGACTTTCCATTATTAGTTTTCTATTTCCTACGTTCTCGGCTTGGCTCATACTCTACGAGGGTTGCCTTTTGTATTTCAGGATTAGAGAACAAAAACTAATATTAATAATCGAAAATCACTTTATTGTTTTTCAAAATATTCCCCGTGAAGATTATACACTTTTGCATGCGTTTGAACCAATTGTCGAAGCACTTTTACCAGTCTGATTGAGATATCTACAAAACGCATTCTCAATGCAGCAACCGCTTCTTCAGATGTCGAAAAAGTTGACCTCTCAGTTTGTTTTTTACGTACGGGAATAAAAAGAAGTCATTCGGTAAGTCAGGACTATACGGCGGATGACTCATCAAATCGATGTTTTGGGTGCTCAAAAATGCAGTTGTTTGAGCCGATTTGTGAGAGCTCGCATTGTCGTGAGGAGTGATCCGTCTTCAGTGAGTGGTTTTCCTGATTTCTTGGAAGACAGCTGGCTAACAAATCGTCGTATACCACTCAGAATTGACTGTTCTGCGTTGTTCTAGTGGTACGGTTGCGACATATCCAGTTTTTTTCGAAAAAAAAACAGGCCACCATTGTTTGGAAGTGCTTCGTGCGCGAACAACTTTTGTTGGATTTTGCTCATCTTGAAACACCAATACAGTCGACTGCTGTTTACTTTCGGGCTCATACGCGTAAATCCACGATTCATCCCTGTCACGATGTCATAGACATGTTTGGAAGCACCGCGATCGTATTTTTGAGCATTTCTTTCGGACCAATTCGGACACGAGCTTTCTTTTTTTTTTTTTTTTTTTTTTTTTTTTTTTGGGCGATTGACAAATTGTGTGGGATTCAACGCGAACAAATGTGTTTGACAGTCAAATGTTCATGCAATATTAAATGTATGCTGGTCCCACTAATGCCTACAGTTGTCTCAATCTCACGATAGGTCACATGTCGATCTTGCAATAACAGTTCACGCAGAGCATCAATGGTTTTCGGAACAACTGATTTTTGACGACCTTCGCGAAATTCGTCTTGGAATGAACTTCGACCACGATTGAATTCACCATACCATCGATAAACACTGGACCTTGATGGAGCTTCATCGCCAAAAATTGAATTAAGTCCATCCATGCACTGTTGCTGAGTTAATCCACGTCGAAAGTTGTAAAAAATAATCACACGAAAATGTTCACGATTTAATTCCATTTTAGGGCCAAGATGAATCTTTTAAGTTACTGTAAACACAAATAGCGCTCGTATGTCAAAACGTTCTGCGTATGTATAACCTCAAAACATCCAAGTTTACGATAGAGCTGTTAGTTGACAAATTGCAACACCAGGGTTGCCAAATCCCGAAACATAAAAGGCAACCTTTGTATCACCGTCCAAAGTACATTTTTTTTTTTGAAATTTTCTGAATTTTTCGGTTTCCTAATAGTAGAATGTAAATATTCTTTTAAAAATATTAAAGGACAGTAAAACCTCGTTCTAAATGGCAATTGTTTTTGAAAATTTTGGAGCAATTTTTAAGAAAATGTCGCTTAAGCGCTACAGTAAATTCGAAATTTAAAGCACTTTTTCACAAAATTTTTGAGTTTTTGAAAAACTTCATTTGAAGTCATTTAAAGCATATTAACTCACAAATACAATAGGATTTACATATTGTAGTATGTGCATATTACCGGCGTGAGAGATCTTTTAAGAAAATTACATTTGTGTAATTTTTAAAAAATGAACATTACCTCATATTAAAGAGTGCAATTTGCACTATCCTTTCGAAAAGTTTCAAGAAAAATTTGGAGCCATTATTGAGAAATGGCATTTGGGCTTTTCTGAAAACGCGGAATTTTGAGCTAGTCTTCACAGAAAACATTTTAGTTTTCGAGAAGCTTCTTAGGAAAATGTTTTTGTCACAAGTAAAAAGAATTACATTTTTTAAATTTTTTGGAAAAATAAAAGAATAGAGCAATATGGCATTTATGTCACATTATAGAGTGAATTTAACACAATCCCAACCAAAAGTTTGAAGAAAAAAGTTGGAGCCGTTTTTGAGAAAATCTTGTTTTCGGAATTCTTTAAAACTGCAAATATTGCGCGAAAACTACTAAAATTGTCAAAAAATGTGCATGACCTTAACAAGAGATCTAATTATGGACAATAAATTTCATTTCAAGGAAAAATCTCTATCTTCAATTTTGTAGTTGAAGGAAGACACCTTAAAAAATACATACTTTTGAAATTTTTGAAAATTAAGAGTTAACCGTGAAATTCGGACCTATACCACTTTTATAAGTGTATGTTACTCCAATCTTACCAGAAATTTAAAGAAAAAAATTTTGAACATTTTTTGGAAAAATTTTGAAAATGTCTGGAGTAGCTTCATGTAAAATACCCCAAATTTGAAAGAATGTTTTTCAAAATCTCAAAGTTTTGACTCGAGTTAGACAGGGGGTTCTTCAACTTGGAAAACAGACTACGCATGGTTTAGGAGCTAGTAGTGTTCACAGACGGACAAACAAACGGACGTTTTGAAAAGAAACAAGAAAAAAACACTTTTTCGGTGCCTGGGGATCCTAAAACGCGTATTTCCGTTGCAATGTCGAAATCTATTTCCGCAGCATTACATAACTTTCTCTATACTACGTATATTACTCCGTAATACTGGAAAGTAAAAACGTTCTCGTACGTGCGAGGGTTGGCACATTGTCAAGGAGTATTTGTTCAAAACAAGTTCGTCTTCAAAAGGGTTGAAACATTTAATGTTCACCAATATCGTACATTTTCGACTTTACCGGGTGCAAAGCCCAACATTCATTTACGCTTTATTGTCAGTGAGAATGCTGAGTACAAGGTAAATCGCCGCTTATGGTTGTAAGTCGGTAAATAACCAATCAATGCTTTAGCACGGTGTAAGAAATACAAATCTTATATCGTGGCTTTTGCTGAAGATCTCAGAAGTGGGCGAGAACGAAGAGCCAGGAACCTGGACCGGGACTACCCACTCATGACAGTTCTCCTCCCCACCACAGCCAGCCCGTGGGCGCGTGAAGGACATTTGCGGGTAACGGCTGGCCTTAAATGGCGTGCTGTGGCCGTGACAGTATGCCGTCATCACCGACTTTTCTTATTCCACATCACCACGCAAGACCTACATTTTAAATCTCTTCTAAAATTTAGCAAAACTTTTGTTCTCGGATTGGAGGGACTGTCTTTATTATCACTACCAAATAAATATATTTTCAACACAACGCTGAAAACCCCAACATTGTTTACTTCTCGCTTTTTTCAAGCATGTAATCAAATTCAATTTTTTTCCACTGTAAAATTAGAGTGATGAAAATTATAATTTATCAGTGATTCTCTTGATTTGAAACGACGAGAACTCCTGGGTAACGTACAAATTAATTAGTGCTAAAACAGCACGTTCTTTCACGCAAAAACTACTCATTTTCGAAAAATTGTCCATGTCCTTATTTGAAAATCTATCTTGAAGGAACAGATTTCATTAACGGAAAATATGTTTATCTTCATAGTTGTAGTTGTAGGAAAACGCCGAAAAAAATTGAACTTTTGCAATTTTCGAAATATCAGGGTTTTCAATGAGCACGAGACGAACATCATTCTCTTAAACGTCCTTCACACTATCTAACAACAGAATTAAATGTCTCAGAGGCTTCATGTAAATGACGCCCCAATATTAAAATATCGATTTCAAATTCAACGGGTTGCGATATCAGCCAGATCGATTGAGGAATATCAATTTTGGAGAAAATCGGCTGAATGGTTTAGCTGTTAGCGATGTTCACGGACAGACGTTTTGCCGTCAATTGATTTCTCTATGTCAAGAACCCTCCAAACACGGATTTTGGCTAAACTACATGTTACAGGATTTTTTTTTAAATGTAGCGACTGGATTTATTCACTTTTTCGGTAGTAAGGTACGGCAATAATTTTTGCCAAAAATTGGCTGCATTTTCCCGCAGCATTGCATAATTTTCTCTCTACTGCGTGAGCGGTAGCGAGAAAGTAAAAACGATATCCGGTATCAACTGGAAGCGACGCATTTACATGGCAACTAATTTTTTTAAATAGAGCGTAATGGATGTTTTCATATAAATTCTTTAGCGTACGATCTGGCAACAGTGAAACGACTGGTAAGTCCACCTCCCTGAAGAAAAGAAATCAACACGCTCGTAAAAGCTACCCTCGAGGGGGAGACTTATTTTTGGCGTCTTCCTGCCGTCTGGGTTGACTCGACTTCCGCTCGAAATATTATCTTCCCCGTTGAGACACGCTGGGTCGTCGACGTGGAGGATCCAGGACAACAACCCCTTTTAAAACTTACGACGCAACAGAATTTAAAAAAAACAAACCCTTTAGGACTTTTAAAACTCAAGCACGCTAACAATAACCTAAGGTTCAACTTTTGTTTCTGCTATTTTAAATACTTGTGTTCAATTTATAACCATTCAACTAGTTTATATTCAAATCTTTGTGGCATCTTATTTTAGGCACTTTTAAAATAGGTTCGTAAAAGTTAATTTATTGTATAATTCCACAAATGTGAATTGTGAAATTATTCTTTAAGGGCAGTATAAATTGACTACAACTTGATCGTGTACATTTCCTTTTCCTTCAGATTCATTCCATAGAACAACGCCTGTTCTTCCATGTCCAAACTCTCTGCTTCAGGCTTCTAAAAAAATATAATAATAATAATAATAATAATAATAATAATAATAATAATAATAATAATAATAATAATAATAATAATAATAATAATAATAATAATAATAATAATAAAAGGAACAGAATATCATATTGGAATGAAAATTCTGAGGCAGCTACTACGATTTTTTTCACTCAATGATTTTATACGCAGAAAACGTCCTTTCTATTTCAGCACTAACATCTTAATGTTAGAATAATTGCTTTCATTACCTCTTTTTCTTTTGATGGAGAGGCTTTTACAAGACGGGTGTGCATATTTTAGTTGGCTTACTACTAATAGTTTTGTTCCTTTATATTCTGAACTCCAAGTAAGTAATTTCAAGTGTCAACAACTAAAGAGTAAAATATAGTATTTATTTTTTCATTAATCTTCTCTTCGTTTGTACAAATGGAATACAATGAGATGTCGCGAGGAAATTATCACTTCTTCGGGTTTAACGTGAAGTGTCCAGAATTCTCTCGGCTATCCAGGAGACACCGCGTCGTTGGCTGGAGTGCCGACGTTTCGCCTGACATGTCGCGTCTCCCGGATAGCCAAGAATTTATGAATTCGAACCGCGGAAGCTTACGTGTACGTGAAGTCTCCAGATTTTATTTACACGGATTTTGAAATCTATATCCTCGGGTTGCACTCGACTGTTTGAAAATGTTCATTTTGTAGACATATTGCCTGAAGGATGACGTTGCTTGAACTCGAAATAACATGAAACTACTGGTGCTACAACAGCACATACACACTGCCATTATTTGTAACTTATACAACTTTCCAAATTTGGAGAGAGCAATAATGAGACATGCGCAAATGTGTTAAGCGTCCATCGCTCTATCCGAGGAAGGGGAGATCCGAGAATAAAATGTGGAGCCGTTTCTCAAAAATTGCGCTTCTATGACCACAATCTCCCCCCTACCCCCGTCGGTTCTTGGAAATTGCGTTCTTGGAGTCAAGGATGAGCGGATGTTATGAAGCAGAAGTAATTTCCATCACGAGCTTGAAACGTTTCAAACAGCACATTCGTAACGAATAATACACATTTTGCTCTTCAATAAAAATTACAAACAATGAATTCAGTTCCATATTATCAAATTACTATTATAATGTGTGAAGATACAATAAATATGTCTTGGTATTGGTGTAACATGCAACTTTTGATACGAGATACTTTTTTAATTTTTTTTTCTTCCATCAAAGCTCAGCTGTCACACATCTCAGTGCAGTTTCCAAATGTCTGTTTGAAATTTGGCAACTTTAGGAATTAGCTCGTAAGAATTTAAACCTCAGGTGCCACAACGGACGTTCGAGGATCTGTCCAGGGCAGGAGGCCGCTTTCTCCACCGTAACCGGTTTAAGGTTCTTCGAATGTAGGCAAAATGTATGCATGGATGCAACCAGCTGTTGAAGATAATAGAGTGTAGAACATTGTCAATAAAATTGGCAGTTGTTATCACAATGCTATTAATTCATTTAATAGGCTACATGTCTTACATGAGAGAGTAATACGGCGATTTCGGCGATAAGGTATTGGATAAGGTGGGCATAAGGTAAATTTTATGTGTTTTTTACTTCGGAGGAATAATTTTGCAATTCGTTTATAATGTTAAGCTTTATTGCATGAGTACATGTTTTGAAAACGAGCGACTTTAGGAGCGAGTTTTCATAGTTGTACGAATGTAATAAAGCAACATTATAAACGAGTTGCATACTATATTTTTTGTATAACAGCATTATACATTTATAAGGGAATCAGACTTAATTTTGCGAAACTACTTCCCTGTGACGACTGTGGTATTTGACATCGTGCGAGTAAACTGTGGTCGGCTGTTCCGTTTAGCCCTACCTCCCGCTACCTCCCCCCGATTCTCTAGCTACGATGGGCTGAATGTGTGATCAAAGCAACCATTCTTGACAAAATCTAATAGAGAGTAATAAAGTGTCATCATTTGTGCCGTAAAATGCCCGACTATGAACGATTTCTTGCTATAGAAAAGGTTTTTTTATAATGCTGGATTACAAAAAATAATGTTCTCGCACCAATGTTTGTTTATATTATTATCAAGCAGCGTTACGTGAACGTGTTTTATTGTTTTCGTACGTAAATCAGACCCCCGGGCGAAACATGGACTTAGAATCAAAGGCAAATACGATTCCCTTCCCTTTCATGAATATTCCTACATTTAATACAAATTAAAATAATTAAATGGGAATATTGTTATATATTATTTCGGCACACCTCATAAAATTGAAACAATATCGGTTTACCTAACAACAAACCTAATCAGCAAATTTTAACGCTCAACAGAAACCAGAAAGAAGTACAAAACATTTAATCAGTGTAAATAGTAGTAAAATGAGAAAACGAAAATTCTGTTACAAAAAAATAAAACACAGCATGTGTAGACCTTCGCTTGACATACAGCGTAAGATAACGTTCGTGCCAATAAGGTAAAAAAATAGACATTTAATGACATTGCTATTGCACAGTCTTACATACATTATAATTAATTTGTTAAATTTTAATTGTGAACACGGATGCCACCAAGCATTTTCTCAAAAAAAGAAAATCATATCGGCGTTAGTTGGTTAATTTTTTTCTCGTTTTCTGATATTGCTTTATTTACAAAATATCAATGCATTATATTGTATATAAATAATAATAAAATAATATTTGAATAAGAGAGAAACTGCAACGCGAATGCTACTTCTCCAGCACAACTATATAAGGAAAGGAAACGAAGCGAAGCGAAGCGCGGCGCGGCAACGTACCCACCAAGGCGCTTAGAAGGCGAAGCGAGGCCCGGCGCGAGGCCTAGCGGAGGCGGTCGAGGGCAGTGGTTCCTTCAGAGGCGGGAAGTGGGAGGCGTTGACCGCGGGCGCACGTGACGTCATGAGGGTTCAGGAGCCAATGAAATGCCGCCATTCAAACGGCTTTCTCTTCTATAAAATAAAGTTACCGGCCACTCCCTGCCTCTTGCAGTAGTTCGCTTGGTTAGGCCACGTCAGGGTCTGAGACTGAGCGATCATTTGCTCTGCTAGAGGTCAATTCTAACGGTTTTTTAAAACCTAATCAAAATGGTAAGTTATGAATACTTTTAATTTCTTCCTATTAGATTTTCTATTTAGTTTTTATACATTAAACTTATGTGAACATGAGTTTCGTGTTTTTGGTGGCTACGGTCTTAGGGACCTACAGGACCTAATTCCGTTCGTATTGAAATGTGTGATAGTGTTCACGTTTCTTACTAACGGTGAATTGTTTCTCTAAATCTTGCAAGTTCCTGTTGTAACATTAAAAAGTACCGTGTCAAAAAAATTTCCTTTGTATATCGTTAATCTGAATTGACTAGAGATTGTTCGTTATTCGCTTCGTATTTCGCTTTCATATAGGCTGATGTGCAGATGAGGTACGTAATGATAAATGTTGGTTCTTTTTTCAGCGTGAATGCATCTCTGTACACGTTGGGCAGGCTGGTTGCCAGATTGGTAATGCTTGTTGGGAGTTGTATTGTCTGGAACATGGCATCCAGCCTGACGGGCAAATGCCCTCAGACAAGACTTTGGGAGGTGGTGACGACTCCTTCAACACCTTCTTCAGCGAAACTGGTGCTGGGAAACACGTCCCCCGTGCAGTATTCGTGGACTTGGAGCCGACAGTGGTTGGTAAGTATCACATTTAAGAGTTTTGAAGTGAGCAAAATTTAAGGTTTCGTGTATGCGAAAAGTAACTTGCAAGTTAGATATAATTAAACTTTTTGCTTTTTTTGTCCAGATAGTAAGGGGGGGCAGAGAATGAAATTATTGAAATTTTGTTGACTGTACCGCTCGGGATCAAATTCGTGTTTGGTGAAAAAATAAGTTGCGCACTGAAGTAAAGTTTTGGAGGAGACTGTATGAATAGCGTCACCGCTAACAAAACTCCTAACTTCAGCTCCACGCGTTTAACGGGAGTTTCCCCCCCCCCCTCTTTCAAAGCATTTCCGGACAATGGCCACGGCGTTCGTGTGTCAGATCAATGCAATAGACATTTACTTGCACTCAAGTGTACATGGCGTAGTATATAGACAAGTCATTGGCGAAAAAAACCAAAACAAAACTATTTCCTGCTTTAACATATAATTTCGCTGGTGTAAGTCCTATTATAGATTCAAGCTTAAATTTTTCTAGTGGCAGATGACCTGGCAATCATTTTTAACATTGCCAAGCACATATGAGACCCTCGGGGATGTTTGAGAGTTCAAAGAACATTCAGTATAGAACGTTGGGGGTGTAACAATGCCCTAGTAGTCTGGCACCAAAAAATAAATAAAATAAAACGGTAGTATTTCAAGGTCACGAGAGGGGTGGAGGGGGAACTGTCATCCAGGCGGGAGCCTTCTTATTACAGTTATTGAAATTTGAGCTCCCGATTGTATGACAATCTCCCTCTCCAAATTTGTAACATCGAAATGACACTCCATTTATAAATCGGAGTGTAGCTGCCGACGTTAATCGGTCGTATACCACGCCTCCAACACCAGTTCCGACTCTTCATAGACAGATTTCATAAGTAGGAACAATCATTTAGTTCGGCGATACAAATGGATATGAGAAAAACGTTCATGAAATGCGTTCACGAGGACTCGCGGCCCTCGCTTTCGCGATCTCGTTCGGCCCACAGCTTTCGGTCTCACGGTATTTTATGAACATGCGTCACTTCTAAGAGAATTTTCTGTAAAGGGAGTAGTATCGTTCTGACTACACTACACTCGAAATATAATCCGCGCAATGCATTGAAATTAATCGGATCTCGTCAGGTGAATGATCAGTGTGGTATAAACTCATTTTTTTTATGAAAGTAACTTCCTTTCAAGTAATGGATTGGTAGTATAGCATGTGTTTTCCTGGATTACTAAGGAAGTTAATAATTGACATTAATAAACTTACTTAGTAACTTGTTAGAAGAAAAAACTTGTATATTTACATTGGTTATACATTTTCTTCAGTTTTATTTTTATAGATAAAACAATATTTTAAGCATGGTCAAGATTTCATTGATTGATACTTTCATTTGCTTTTGATGATTCAAAGCTTAGATGTTTAGTTTCAAACTTTCTCTCAGAGTGAACAAAATTTTTTCCACCCTGATAAGATCTAGCCAGAGTTGTTTAAAATGGTGCCTTTATCTCTCATGTTGAGTTTTAATTTTATTCTTATTATATGCTTCTAATGAAAGTGAGAAGAACAGAACTTATTCTAGATTATTAATTTTTTCAGATGAGGTTCGCACTGGCACATACCGTCAACTGTTTCACCCAGAGCAGCTGATCACTGGAAAAGAGGATGCTGCTAACAACTATGCACGTGGTCACTACACTATTGGCAAGGAAATTGTGGACTTGGTTCTGGACCGCATCCGCAAGCTTGCTGACCAATGCACTGGTCTGCAAGGTTTTCTCATTTTCCACTCCTTTGGCGGTGGCACTGGATCCGGATTTACTTCTTTGTTGATGGAGCGCCTGTCTGTTGATTATGGCAAGAAGAGCAAACTCGAATTTGCAATTTACCCTGCTCCTCAGGTATCCACTGCTGTTGTGGAACCATACAACTCCATCCTGACCACCCACACTACTTTGGAACATTCAGACTGTGCCTTCATGGTGGACAATGAAGCCATCTATGACATCTGCAGACGCAACCTTGACATTGAACGCCCCACTTACACCAACTTGAACCGTTTGATTGGCCAGATTGTATCTTCCATTACTGCTTCCCTCAGATTTGACGGTGCCCTCAATGTCGACCTTACCGAATTCCAGACCAACTTGGTGCCATATCCTCGCATTCATTTCCCCTTGGTAACCTACGCTCCTGTCATTTCTGCCGAAAAAGCATATCATGAGCAACTGTCTGTTGCGGAGATCACAAATGCTTGCTTTGAGCCTGCTAACCAGATGGTGAAATGTGACCCTCGTCATGGCAAGTACATGGCCTGTTGCATGCTGTACAGAGGAGATGTTGTACCAAAGGATGTTAATGCTGCCATTGCCACAATCAAGACCAAACGCACAATCCAGTTTGTGGATTGGTGTCCTACTGGCTTCAAAGTGGGCATTAACTACCAGCCACCTACTGTTGTCCCTGGTGGTGACCTGGCCAAGGTACAACGTGCTGTATGCATGTTGTCTAATACTACTGCCATTGCCGAGGCTTGGGCTCGCTTGGATCACAAGTTTGACCTGATGTATGCCAAGCGTGCTTTTGTGCACTGGTATGTGGGAGAGGGTATGGAGGAAGGAGAGTTCTCTGAAGCCCGTGAGGATCTGGCTGCCCTGGAAAAGGACTATGAAGAAGTCGGCATGGACTCCGTGGAAGGAGAAGGCGAAGGTGCTGAAGAATACTAAGTCACATTTAAAATGTCTGCAATTTTTAAAATTTTTACAATGCAAGATTGATGAACAAAATCGCAAACATTCATTCCAAAGATTGAAAAATAATTTTTGTACTGAATAAATTTTTTTTGGCATCCTTTGTTGGTTTTAATCTTCCTCGAATCATGTAAATTTATTTCTCCTCCCCATCCTCCTCCAGCAGAACATTTTTGCATTACTTCTACAATAGTTTTGGTATGCTTTTTTTTTTTTTTCCTTTTTTTCCCTCTGTTTTCTCTAGGGGGTAGGAGTTATTTAGAATGAATGGAGATTTACCTTAATACAGAATTTTTTAAATTGATATAGTAAAATCACTTGCATGGTTGAAATGTGCTCTTGGTAACATGGCTTTGCCAGGGTTACATCAGTCTGGTGCTTCGCATTTCCATCAAGTAGGTTCTGACAAAGGTTGCTGACTTCTAGTATGCTAATTTAGAGGAAAATAATGCAATTAAGAGGGGGGGGAGTAAAAGCAAATAAATGGCCATTTTCTTGATAACAAACCTTGATCTTGTATGTTTTTGAAAACAAATGGGTATTAGGAATCTTGAATTTTTTTCTTCCCCATTGTTAAATACAGGTTTTTCATTCAATTTATTTTGACTTTCATGTTGTAATTTGCTGCTGCACAACATACAATTTTTGAATAATTCAACTTAGCTCTCCTTGTTTATGGGATTGGCTATGAAATATTTTACTGCAATATGAAGCAATGAAGCTTTCTCTGTGCTACATAAAATGTCATTTAGATTCAGCCGAAACTGATGTGGGTCCATTTAACTAGGAGTTGGATGTGGAATACAAGAAATGTCATGTGGCTGATGCAGTAGTGTTAAAAATCATCAAATCATGCTTGTTTATTAAGCTTCCTTGGGTACCTAGGAAGTTTCGTTATGAATTAATACAAGGGTGTTGAAAAAGATTTTTAGATTCTGAAATGCTGACATAAAGGAAATGTATTCTAGAGTTGTGGAATCAATGTTGTCTTAACTTGAACCCACAAGATGAAAATGACACACCTGTGGAGTGATTGGATTCTGAGAAAAATATTTCCTTGCACTTGCAGCCCATTTACGTATTGTCTGTCACCGCAACAACTTCAATCCTACTCTATACAGCAACTTAAATTGTAGTTATAAAGAGAGGGCTGTAGAAGTAGTTTCCTCTTAAATGTTTGGGAGTACCCAGTCAATGGCATGGGGAGGACTTGAGCCATGAGCACATTGGGCAGTCATCCAGAGCCCCAGAATTCTGCAGAGTAATTTATTTTTAAGGAATAGATTAATAGCTGCTAAGACAAACCTTTTTTAAATATTTTTATTTACATACCTGTGAAGTAACACTTATGTAGTTAGGAAAGTATCTGATTATAGCATGCACTGATAATAAAAAGTACCAAGTTCATTAATTGTTCACTTTCAGAAATTTAAAAACACGCTAAACTTCTAGTTTCCATTTCTTAAAATATATTAAACAAATTTTCAAAAGATAATTTTTACATTGTTCCTTATATATTTCTTTATCACTTTTAAGTTTGTTGATAGAAATGTTTTTGAAATTTGCAAATATTTATGGAAATTTTCATTGTTAATCCCCAAAACATATAGGGACCCCATCACTGATCTAATGCTGTTAAATGGCCATGTCCAGAGCCAATGCTTCATGGCTAGACCAGGGATTTGGGCTCAAAAAATCACATGTAAGAATTTTTTTTTTGAAGTTGTTAATGTGATTTTATAAGTCATGGTAAAGTAGCCCATTATTGCTGAATATTTGCAATTAGGGACCTATAACAAATTATATAGTAAATACTTCATATTTTTATTTTATTAAAATATGTATCTATTAATTCTGATTGAAATTTTATTTGATTTTATCTTTAATAAATCAATATTGCACTTCAAATAGTAAATTAAATTACAATAATTTGATGAATAATGTTTTTAGCTCCTATACCTTCATGCAGCTAGGTGTTGCCTTTATCGGTGTAACATCAACATAAACAGAATGGCTTTTGGATGGAAGATTTTCTTGTAGTAAAGTTTCCTAATTTCCTTGGTGTGGATTGGCTTTTAAGGTCTTGCCTCATCCTCTTGTGAGATGCTATCTACTGCTGGCCAAAATAAAATTTTTTGACATTTTTTCAATTTTTTAGTTTCCTAATTACACCAAAATAATACTTCAAGCATATTAAAGTAGAGTCAAACCTTAATTTTTATTGAAAAACCTGGAGTCATTTTTAAGAAAACGGCATTGAAGCATTACTGTTAATGCAAAATTCTAAGCTCTAATTCGGAAAACTTTATTTAAAGTCATGTGAAGCATTTGAACCTACAAATGCAATAATGTGTACAAATCGCTTGAAACGTGCATATTAACAGTGAGAGATAGTAAAAAAAAAAGTGTAATTTTTGGAAAAAAAGAAAAGAATACAGCAATATAAACTTTATATCATTTTTAACAGTGCAATTAGCACTACCCATCAGAAAAGTTTGAGGAAAAAATTTTGTGTCAGTTTTGAGAAAATGGTATTTCAGCATTTCTGAAAATGTGGAATTTTGAGCTCAGTTTTACAGAAAACTGTTGAGTTTTCAAGAAACTTTATAGGCGATTATTTAAAGCACACGTACTCATTAATACAAAAATTGCCACTAATGTAAATATTAACAATGTTAGAGAAAAGTCAAATAAATTATTTTTGTAATTTTGGAAAGAAAGAAAGAAAGAAAAAAAAGAGAGAGAACAATTTGACGTTCATGTCATCTTATTGTGTTTAGCACTATGCCTACCAAAAGTTTTAATTTAAGTTGAAAATTTAGAGCAGTTTTTGAGAATCTTTTTTAAATTACAAATATTGAACGCAATATTGCATGAAAACTACTAAAAGTTTCCAAAAATGTATACATGATCTTGATGAAAGAACTAATTATGGACAACAAATTTCATTTGAAGCAAGAATCTATCTTTAATTACTTTTTAGCTGTAAGAAAATGCTGAAAAAATTCAAAATTTTGCAATTTTCAACAAATTTGGAGTTAATTGTGAAAATTGGACCTATGCCAACTTTATAGGTGTGATTTACTCTATTCATTCCAAAACGTGTAGTTCCATTCAAATCTCAAAATTAATTTTCTGCAGCATTACATAACTTTCTCTATACAATGTATATTACTCCATATATACGTACATATAAAGTAAAAACGGGTAACTCTGTTTTTCATGTCATTCATTGGACTTGTCATTCATTCTATACCATTTTTTACTTTCTTAGTTTCGTTGTTACGATAGACAGGTTACGTGTATACATTCACTTGCAAGAATTGTTTTATCATTAAATCCCCCCCCATGTAATACAAATAATGTCATAACTGCTTAATACCACATAGTAAAATTATTACACTGAATTTAATGAAAAATGAAACAAATGCACTTTTATGATATATGATATACTGTGTACAGTATATTCACTGTTTGCAAACATAATAGGCTTGCATACTTTGCACTTATGCATTACATTTCTGGGATGAAGAGGGAAGGGTAGGCGGATAGCAGCTGCCCCAAAACTCCATAACTGGCCATACCATGTGGTTCTAAGTTGACCAAAATTAAAATATATGAATATATCACAATCTCTATTCCAAAGAAATGGAATTAATTTCTGGGTTCTTCACATCAAGACCTGCAAAAAATTAGTCTATAGAGGTACTTATTTTAATACATTTTGAGGAATGTTTTGTCTCAATAAATACAATACAGAAAAAAAAGAAAATAAGCTCCAGCTACTCCATTTTTATTAATATTGTGACAAATTGGAAAAGCTGGATTATTTCAAATGTCATTTGCTAGCTATCTACATACTGGAAGGAAGAAATTTTGATTTCAACCTACTTTATAATGTTAATATAACAAAAGCAACATTACAACTCCATTTTGCTTATTACAAATAATCATTACAGGACATATATAACATTATTTCATTACATTCAATTCACAAAAAAATTTTAAAAATATGAAACAATTCTATACATAGTTATATCTATTTTGACTGGTAGTTCTGCAAAAGTAACTTAATTTAATCTTTCTAAAAATCTTACTCAGATCATGTTCATAACTGCCATACATATTTGGTAAAAGTTTACAAAAATAATAAATACTCTAATATATCCACCTTTTGAAGAGGTCAAAGAGCTTAAAAAACACAGGCGGATTGTATGAAAAATGGGTGAAAAACTTGCATTGAGCTGTTACCCCCTCCTTGCACACTTCACCCAGGAAGCTCTTCAGCACCAGTACTTCAATTTCATTTTCACATCTCAATCTGTAATATCTAATAGGATAGCTACACACCTAGTACATGACCAGAAATTATTCAGTCTTCTAAGTGCATTTTTCAGAGATGAACTTTTCTCATCGTTACATATGTAAAGTTGTAGTTCTACTTGACAACAGTTTAGTTTACAATTGATTTGTGTATTTATAGTGTGCAAAGAGGCTGTGCTGCAAAAGCTCAGCTGTGTGATACATCAGTCTGTACAATGCAATAATCCACCGCTTAATTAAAAAATATTATAAAGCAAATAATCATTTGCTTGTGCAATATGATGCAGAGATCAACATGTAATTATCACACCAAAATAAAAACTAAAAAGAGTTTTACATTTAAATTTACCAGCGGATGTGGTTCTACATGACAAATAACACAGTCTATTAAGGACCCCGAACCATTGTGATAGTAGTATTTGCTAGTAGTGAAGAAAACAGAATAGGCTTCACATCTAACAGGTTAATGGATGTACCTTCATTGCAGTGAATGTTGTTGATATGACTTGGAAACCTGAATGTTGCAGATTCATACTATTAAGTGCTCTCTTATATCTTCGTTCTCTTACAACCTGGAGAAGCTCATGTTTTGTTTTGTTTTGTTTAATCTAAAGAATCCTTTAAATTAACATCATCAGAGTATATTCAGATCTTGCATTAAATATTCATGTTAATTTATGGCACATATTGCAGACATTGACTACAATGGAGAATCTCAGCAAATCTTGTGTCTAATTAAATTATAAATGTTCATTAAATCAAAATATTCATGACACTGTTTTCTTTCATATTTATATAGTAAAAAATGGGTAATGACATTGATGGCATGATATATATTAATTGATTTAAGATATCACTTAAACTTTTGTTAAATACATTGTTACAAAGAGTTTTTTCTGGGGAATAAGCTATGATCTGAACTTCTTGACAATACATCAGCAATACTTTACACACTAATGAAATGGCAGTAAATTAAAGAGTTGTAACACTCCTTCAAAAAATATGAAATTGAAGCAAATTATATACAAGAAAATTAAATATACAAAATATATTAAAATAAATCACATTAAAAAATGGCAATTGTGACAAATGCAGGAAGCAAAAGTAGTAACTAGGTATAATCTTGAAGTTTCTCATGCTGGCACAGTATAGATGGACCCAAACAGCATTCACTTTGAAACTGGGGCTGAATAACAAAATAAATAAATAAATAAAAAACAAACACAAAATTATATATATAAAAAATTACAAAGCAAAATTGATAAGAAAAAGTAACTTTGAGAATCATTCTGACCATATCCTACAATTCCTCCAGTGTTTCTGGTGCTTAGTTATATTCTGTAATCTAGTTATACAAGTTTAACAATGATTATATGTGTACAAATACTGGATTAATTACAATTTCATATACAACTATTGTTCACTGATATACATATCACATGACCTAACTTGAATAAATACTGCAATATATAGTGTTCTACATCTTCAAATTCACACTCAAACACTGTAAATAATTTGTTCCTTCTTTCAGTTTCCTATTAATATTAACTGCCACAAACTGTAAAATCCAAAACATGTTTGAATATGTATGGCACAGACATGTGACATTACATCAGGTAGCGGAATTATATATAATAGTGGGAAATTTCTCAACAGCATCCATCGTGCAGGTGCGTGACACACACACAGTGATACATTCGTAACATAATGAGAGCTTAGAGGCTGGTAACCAGATGTGACTAGATTTATTTTCTGGGGTGAGTCTGTTGAGTTAGTTAAGGGAGGTTCCGCCGTCCGGTCCTGGCATGGAAAAGCCATGCAGAAGATATAAAAGTCGAGCAATCTGACTCCACTTATTGCTACAAGGCACAAGCAGGGCCGGTGCGGTGGGGATATACATATAATTTGAAAGGGGAGGTGGCAGTTACACGGGTAGCAAACAAACAAAAGTAAATATATAAAGAATTTTCTTAAGTGCAAATTATGTATGAATTAATGTAAAAGAATGTATCATTAGAATAAAAAATCGAAGTTTTCTAGCAAAACTGAGATTTTTTCAATAGACAGTAATAAAATGACAATTTAAAAAGATGTAAAGGAAATATTAAAAGTACAGTAGAAAAAACGTACACATTTTCTACTCTAGAATTTCTTGTGAAGTCACATACATCCTTCTAAAGTTCAAAGAACTTCACAAACAACTCTCTATTAACATAGTACCATTTCTTGGCTTACACTTTTCAATTTGATATGAAAAGTCTTTTGACTTATTATTACTTAAATACTCTTAAAGTCTTGAAATACAAGCAAAAACAATTGGTTTTCTTAAAAATTAATGTAAGTACCTATTTAATATTACAATTACAAGCAGCTAGGGATATATTGCAGATGTGCAATAAGAATTTTAGTATTTACAAAATTCTGTACAACAATTTATCATTAGCTTATACCTATTCCAGGTCTTTGTAAAAGAGAGCATGAAAGAGATAGGGAGAGAGAGGGGCGAGTGAGCGAGAAGGGGGGAGAGGAGAGAGAGAGAGTAAAAATGACCCTGCAATAGTGGGTTTTGTCAAGGCAAATACCTTCAAAATTAGGTCAAAAACACGCAAGATAAAGAATTTTACAATGATACAAACCCTTATACACACACTAAAATTCTTAAACTGAAATGCTTAGGAAGGCAGTTAGTGTCTACTTCTGAGTTTAATACATCACAAACTGTTGTGAACCACTGCGAAAAATTAAGGGTGTATAATTATGTTTTGATAAGAAGTGCACAAGTTGTATGTAATTTGGAGTCGTCATTGTCAGAAAAGAAAACAGTAAATTACACAACATCGTTAAAAAGAAAGCTTTGAAATGAAAAAAACCTAAACAACGAGTTAATTAAAAACAACAACAACCAATGCAGCGGATCCGCGGCAGAGGAGCGACTAAGCAGGTGCAACGCTAGAGGGAGCGACGGCGGAGAGACGGGGAAAGGAGGGAGCGACTCACCCCACGCAGCATCAAGTCACGCCCGCCCCCGCCCGCTCGCGCTCGGCGTCGGCGATGACGCGGGGCGGGTGCTGGCGGCGGACGCGGCGCCGCACCGAGCGCAGCACCGAGCTCACCACGCCCTCGTCGCGCGGCCGCACCGCCTCCGCCTCCGCGCCCCCGGCCCCGGCCCCGGCCCCGCCCCGAGCGGCCCGCGACCCAGCGGCGGCGCGCGGCGCCGCGCCGATCGCGCTCACCGCTCCCGGTCCCGGTCCCGCGCGCGCACCTCCTCCACGGCGCTCTCCAGCACCGCCCGCTGCTCCTCCCGCGCCACGCGCAGCGCCGGTCCGCCCACCGCCGCGCCCTCGCCCAGGAAGCTCTCGCTCGCCTCACCGCCACTTCGCTCGCCGCAGCCGCCTCCTTCTCGTCTCCCGCTGCCCGCGACTCCTCGGCCACGCCCTTGTCCTCGTCCCTCGCGCGTCCGAATCGCCTCGCAGATGCGCCCTGCGTCGGAAGGCAGAGGGCTGTCGGCGCCCTCGCTTCCTCGCTCGGCTGGGCGGGCGCGGGCCGGGAGCAGCGACACCGGTCGCGCCTCCCCTCGCCGCCTCCAGCGAAGGATCTCGTCCACGTCGGGGGAGACGAGCGCAGGTCACATCCCACCCCACTGCTCCGCACAGCGACTGGATGGACGTGGCCTGACCGACTGCCGATGAGCTGTTGTGTCATCTTGATGTCGGGCGGCGCGCACGGGCGGCAAGCGGCGACGCCTGGCCGAACACGCGCCCGCGCGCGTGCCGCAGCCCCGCGTCCGCCCCCTCGACGCCGCGCCGCCGCCTCGGGCACGATTGCAGGCTGGCCGAGTACGCCGCGGCGCGCGCGCCCCCAGCCACAGAGGGCTCGCGCCCGCTGCCGCCCCCGCTACCCGCCGCCGCGCCGCGCGCCGCCTGTCTTCCGGCATGGCGCGGGCGCGGCGCGCCGGGCCGTCCGCCCGAGGCACGGGGATCCCAGCGGGCGAGGCAAGAGGCGCTCCGGCCAGAGGACTCCCACCGCCGCAGCCTTCTTCGCGCCTTTCATCCTCATGAGGCCTCGGTTCCTCGAGGTCGGATTGAACGGCCGCAAACGACCCGACTATCTCTTCCGGGTTGCCATTATTCTCGCTGCCTTTACCCTCCACGTCTGGGCTTCCCGCGTCTTCTGATGAAGACGTAATGAAATTACAGTTATCCATGTCACGGATTTCCAGCGAATTAGATGGATCCACGTCGGCTGAATCTGTCCTGGGGCTGTCAGACACGATTTCATTCTCTGTGGAATTTTCCTCATCGTTCGGTTGCGGTCCGACGAGGAACGCCAAATTATTAACTTGATTCTGCCTCCAACCTTGGGCGTTATCGGCGTTCGATGAGTCTGGCAAGAAGGCCCGATTATCCAAAGTATTGTCTTCAGGTAAAATTTCTCTCAATCCCACAGGTGATACAGGGGTAAGAGGGGAAGGTGGTTGTGTTAGGAACGCACAATTATCTACAGCAGGAGATTCATTCTCAGCAGGTAAATAGTTACTATTGTCTTCAAAATTACAAAGATTAGGCAGATCACTGGTAGCGTTATCAACAGCCCAAGCTGCTGTTTCCATAACCATAAGACCGTTATCTGCAATAGTTGCCAACTCTACAGTTGGAGTTCGTACATGAGAGCGAACACATTCTTCTATATATGGGCAAGGATTAAGGTCTAAAGGTTCTATTGAAGCATCCTCCGATGCTAGTAAGTCGTCCTCTGCCAAAGTACCTACCTCTATCTCTACATTGTACCTCACTGCGTGTGCACGCGCAACCTTCACGAAGTCACGGTTGCGTCTATGACTATTAGAGCCATCGTCTGTGCCTTCTGCAAAGGTAACTTTGTTCTTACCATGAGGCCGCCCACCAGTGCCACCACTTCCTGCCACGATGCTTTTACCCACTTTACCAATGGCTGGCTTTGGGGTCACTTTGTGCATAGACACAGCATCTGCAGTGGCAGTAGTGGCAGCACGGGGCAGTTCTTGTCACTTACACGTCATCCAATTTAAGGCAGGCGATGCAGCTCCTGTAAGAGATACTCGGTGCCCCATCTCTGAGAGCCTTCGATGCTGGTAAGTGTATGGGGCCACAAGTCGAGGCTCTCGACGTTTATAATGATCATTGAAATCAAGACGAAAACTCAGAAGTTGTAAATTATTGTTGGGATGATCAGCCAATTCCAGAAGGAAGTTTTTCACTTGTTCCTGCAAAAAACCAATAATAATAATAATAATAATAATAATAATAATAATAATAATAATAATAAGAGATTTTTCTCTTTGTTTTATTTAAAGCAGTTGATTTCTTCACTAACAATGATGGACCACCAGCTGCCATCTTTTAATATTTATAATCACTATTCCTATACCTCCAGAAATTAATTTTATTGTGGATGCCTTTTGCATAAGAGTTACAATTTTTTGTCCAATTTTATTCTATAATTGTAAACTTCATACATAAGATAAGAATATGGTTGTTTAAAATTAGAGGCAAACATTGAGACAAAAAAATACATTAGCTCTACTAAAAAATATTTGCTTTTTATTTTTCTATTAAATTATAGCTCCACATGCAAAACAGTTATTGAGATATCATATATCACATGCCCCATTGCTATTGAATACGACTATTCATTTTACTTATTAAATTTACAATTTACACTAAGATTTTGACAACTTTGAGATGCAATAATCTTTTTCTGATAAAACTAACCCAGCGGGTACATTTTTTCTATCCTATTCAATGGACCTAATATGGTCCATTCAGGTCAGTAGACTGACAGGTTCTAAAACAGTTGGACATTGCTGAAGACTGCATCACTCTACAAAATATTCTTTTGCCAGTCATATGGGCTGGAGAGCCAACTGTTAATGCCTCAAAGTTTCAGTTCAGTGTGTGTTATTGGAGGTTCTGGATAGTTTCCTCAATTCATTTACAATGTTCGGATATTACTAATAATAATGTAAGAATTGAGACAAATACTGGCAACAAGCATATGGGAATATGTAAGTGTGTTAATTAAGCCATCAAACACATGTATATAGATACGTAATAAATATCAAATTTCAACACTGTTACTTTCATCACCCTTTTATCTAAAAGCTACACCCCAATTTTTAATCATCCATTTCTACACACACATTTTAATCACAACTGGCACCTTCAAAATAGTGTTCTTGGCTACTAGCACACCTATTCCAGCACTTTTTCCACCTGTGGGACACCACCTGGAACGCTGCTCTCAAAATCCTTTCGAGGTCAGTTGTACTATTTTACTGAATTTCTGCAATGGACTCAAATTGGTGTCCTTTAAGGGCAGTCTTGAGTTCAGGAAAACATTCACATGGGGCCACAACGAGTGAATAGGGGGCTGCGGACTCAACAACAATTTTGTGTTAGTTCTGCTGTCAACAAACATGTTTGACAAACAACATTTAACTTGCGACATGCTCAAAATTTCAATCAAAATGGTTTGACTAGACCCGGAACTAATGCCTATTTCATTGGACATCACTGATGGTAAGTTGATGCTTTGATCACATCACATCATTAACCAATTTCACCTGGGTGTCATTTGTTCACGTTGAGAGATGTCCACTTTGCAAGTCTTCATAAGATGAAGTTTTGCCAGCTTTGAAACAGTTGTGCCATTCAAAACACAGTGTGCGACTCATAGAAATGTCTCCAAAAGCTTCCTGAATCATTATGAAAATATCTTTTGCACACTTTTTCCAGGTTAAAAACAAAACCTCACACTTCACGCTGTCCCTCTAAATCTTTCATTGCCTCGCAGACGGAAATTGTAGCAGGTGGCCTTTGCTACACAATAAGTTAACCTGCAATGGCGAGCAAGGTGCCATGATACTTCTAAAAGATGTCACTAAATATAGCAACTTTTCTTGTTTTGCTCCAATGAGCTTTGATTTATTTTATCACACCTTGTACAATTAAAAGTTTTATGGTATAATTTTCTTGTATTCTAGCTACATAGATTTCATGAAAACATTATCCAAGAGTCATAATAATTGGGAGTGAAACAGCTCCAGCAGAAATTTGTATTTGAATGTTTGGAAAATAAATGTCAATCACTTACATGTTAATCGCTGACCAGGCCCAATTTGATTTGGCAACACACATGACTGAATTGACTTAAAACGATTTTGCCTCTTACAGAGTAAATAAATTGTCACCAGAATGCTATTTCTGAATGCGTACCGCTTTCCTATTGCTTACGATTCCTTTCGCTGCACTACCTACCGCTTTCCATTTTAAAAACTAAGTGAAAATTGATTGTTTTTGTAAAAAGCATCAAAATAGAGAACTTTCAATCCACTTTTACAGAACACCTTCCAGAAATGAATTAAAACCTGCCTCACTTCAAAGAACATGTTTTAATCCACCTAGAAAGGAGGGTTTGATTTTCCAGCAGAGGCATACAACTGCCATTATTTGGTAAATGTTGCAACTGATAATTTATTATTAAAATGAGCAATAACATCTTTTGTTTCCATACCTGATAATCAGTGGCAAGGATAGTCAACTTGGTAAGTACATCTCGTACATATTTCTTTTTGAAGTCTGCTCGTGCTTTTTCATATGCCTGTTCTTCAGCAGTGTCTGTCCCAAACTCTCCAGCATCGCCACGTGCTTCAATGGTATTCTCATGCGCATTACGTGCAGCTAACTCTTGAAGAGCATGATTGTGGAGATCAGTCTCAATCTTTTCGAGACTCAAAACAAGAGAATGCACAACCCTTAACCGTGCAGCCAAACGCTTTGATTCATTATCCAAAAGAGCACCTGCTTTAGTCTTAAACAAAAAAGGAAGCACATAATCAGTCCATCATTAAAAAATATAACAACAATAAGGCACATCATCTTCTAAATGCAGCTCTTAAAAGCTGATTTTCAATCAATACAAACATTAATTTGTTTTAAGAAAAAGCAGAAAAGAAAAGGGTATAGTTTGCACACATGAGTATGTATGTGTATGGAACAATATGCATAAAAATGTAGGGTGCTCCGAAAATCACCCAACTCAATTTGTCTTTTGGAATCAAAGGGGTTGACTTTTCTATTGTTACTTTTGGACTTCTCTGTTGTGCTAGAGCAGCTAGCTGGAGCTAGTACTGAATAATAAAATGCAATTCAGCTAAAAACTTAAGCAAGTTATCGATCAGCTTTGATGAAACTTTCAGCACAATGATTCTATAATTTCAATGTTGCATCTATGGGAAATAACTTGAGAGTAGGAAGAAAAGAGAAAAGTAAATACATAAAACATTGCTTGAAGTACTAATGTCAGGTTTAAAGAAAATTCACCCTCCAGAAGCGAAATGTGATGGTCTTTCCAGCATGTTGTAGTAATGTCCATAAGTTATGAGTTGAGCCTATGAGAGTGCAGTTGTCATTCCAATCTGAGTGAAAATGCACCTCCATGAGAATAGACCATGTTTAGTCAAGAAATCACATGTAAGTAAAAATTACTTTTATTTATTACTCAAACGTTATTGCTTGTTATTGCCTTAATTTCGGAGCTCGATATTCACAGCATAACTTACTGGGATCAGAGAATTGTGGTGACAAAGGAAATAAGAAAAAAAGTTGAAAGTTGTTAAGTGTAAAAATTTTGAGTAAAAATTTGAAAATGTCCTTGACGGTTCATGTAAAGTACTCTCCCATATTAACAGATTGATCTCGAATTCAAGGGCCTGTAACATCAGCCAAATCAATTGGGGAATATCAATTTTGGTGAAAATCCTGCTTACAGTTTAGCTGCTAACACTGTTCACAGACAAACAGGAAAGATGTTTCACCTTCAAGCAATTTTCTGTATCAAGGACACACAAAATGTGGATTCTGAACAAAGAGAGTGTTAGAGGAAGTAATTTGCGACACATAGGAATAGGAATTATTAATATGCACTATGCAGAAAAATTAGCGTTTTCGCTGTAGCATTACGTAACTTTCTCTATAAAACATGTAATATAGAGAATGTAAAAATTAACATTTTTGAAACAAATACATAAAATTAACAAAAGTAATATTAGAAAAAAAAATCATGAGCACATTTCAATTTGTTGTATCTGCTGTCTAGGGCAACAAGTAAGCTAAAATCATCGCTACCCATACAACCTTTTAGATCATTGTATAAAAAATAAACTGAAAAAATGCCTATAATAATTATCATTAAAACAAAGAAAGTATGTTATGTTTAAGAAACTCTTGATGTCAATGTTTAATTAAAAATGTTCAAAGAAAAATATGACCAATCACAAACTTCCCTCTCACGGGGGATGGAAAATTGCTTCAATAAAGGCATTTTTTTGAAAATAGAAATATAATTGTCAGAGTGGCAAAAAAATAATTGCCCAAAAGGATGAGTGGCAATCCACAAGAGTCGATACTGCAACCAATACCGTTTCTATTGTACATTAGTAATATAACCCTCGTGTGAAGTCAAGCACTTTCATGAATGCTCATGATACAAAGATCCCCAAAAATTCTCTACTTAACTCAACTGATCAACAAAAATATCTATATCTCATTCACTCCTAAACTCTTTATGGCTTATCCTTCTGAATAAATTAAAATGAATGGATATGTATTTAGGGTAAGACTAACCCATCACATATTAAAACACTGGAGATCAACATATTGAGTTGACGATCTACATGAAGGAACTCAGAATAATAATATTTAATGACTTTAAATGGGAACAACATTAATAATAAAATGTCAAAACTGACCAACAAGTTTTCAAAACTAATTCAGAAATCTTTTGCAATGTGATTAGCACACATTTGGGGAATTAACAGTATAACTGCTGCCTGAATAATAACCAATAAAATAAAATTTATCTTACCTTGTCCAAAAATTGCATATGTGCTTTAAGAATATCATCAAGTGATTCAGCCTGACCTAGCTTGCCAAGCATTTCATGCCAAGAACATTCCAGAACTTCAAATAACATATAATACTGCATTTGCTGCACAAGATGTATCATTTCAGCTGTCAACAAATGTGTTCTTTGAAGCACTGGAGCAAGCTCTGGCAACTTTCGTAACATGCGCATAGCAGTAGTCTGACGCTTCCATGATCCAGTCAAAACGTATTCAGAACGCTTGGCTCGCCAAAGAGTGCTGAATAACATTAAATATGAGCTTGCATTTGGAACAAAGATCTACAAACAAAACAAAACAAATACATAATTTCCATTAAACTTTTAACTTTGTGGTAAGCTCTCTAACAGTAATAAAAAATTAAATATCTTTTGTGAAAATACTGTATTATTTGATTTTTAAAATATTTCACTACATTTAAAAACATAATATATCCGGAATATAAAAAACATTCAGGCCTGTAAGAAATGAGATATAGAAAGCATTAATTAAGCAAGCATGCTAGACAAAAAAATATCGGAACAGGAAGTTGAATAAATTTTTGTCCTCTAAGCTATAAACCTGCCTAACGTGAAAACAATTTCTTTCCCAGAATGTCAAGTGATTGGCTAATAAAGAGGTTTTTTTCTTCCAGCACTGTGTTTCGGAGAGCAGAGAACAGCAAGATAATCATGACCCCAAAATAGGCAGAATGATCGGCATTTCCCTTTTTACCTACCATTGGGGAATCTTTGGCAATACCTTTGTAGACTATCTTATTGTATCTTTATGCCATGGTACATGTAATCAGATGTGACCCTCCAGCAGTTGCGGCCATGAAATAAACAAGTCACTTTGTATCTCTTAGATACACCTTAACTGAATGGGTCAAAATAAAACACATTTCTAGCAATCACATTAAATTGATTTCATTAATCAATACTTTATAAACACTTTTGTGGTTATTATTTATACCTATGTTAAAATCTGAGGGGGTTTTCTCAGCAGTCGTTGAACATGTGGCACACATTACTTTATGCTCTAAACATGAATATTTCTCATATTTTATGCACAAATATTTGGTGAGTCTTATTCTTTATAAGTGTATGTCTGTTGAACAATTGGAACAACTTTAGTTCTGCAAGTTGCTAATTTTGAGAGTCTAAAGTCACATGATTGCCAGACGGCAAATCAATCAAACCTGAGTAACATGTAATAAACACAAAATGAAAAGTTATGAAAACTGTTTTGGGCATAAAATTACCTCTAGAGGTATGACACCTTAGCAATGGCAAGGATTGTCATTTTTGCATAGTCATCGCAAGATTTGCCGAAAGTGTGGCTGTGGCAATGAATTTCTACAGTGACTGGGAGAGGGGGACTCGAAAAAGTATCATTAGGTATTCTGTTTTTGCACACTCAAAACCACATTCCTTTTCACCACCCTTTTAAAAGATTCAGAGCCCCTACAGAATATCCTATATTATACAGAACCCATTTCATTGTTTCATGGAAGTTCTTGCGCTGCTAGAAAGCCCATAATATTAATTAAACATTTCAGGATTTCTCAACTCTTTTTCACTTTCTGGTAGTGCAACGTATTATTAATATTTTATGCATAGTTTATACCATATCTATCCTGATTTTCCTGAAACTGTCTAGTCAATAGCTCCAGTTCATCTCCAAAGCTCTCAATTTGATGCAATAATATTAGCAAATCCATTGTGTTCACATTTTCTGTTACTTTACAAATACTGTTGAAATAGGAGTAATTATAAGCTAATTATAAAATTTACCTCTAATATATTTAAAATTTATTTTTATTATTTTGCTTGGCCATCTATCAATGACCAGATGCTGTATCACTGGACCTAATTGTTTTAAGGGGGCAGTGTGTTTTGAGGGTTGTATTTGCACAAGCAAATATTTTTAAAAGAAAATCTCTTTGTGAAATTCTCTTTCTTTGACTTCTTGTTTTAATTTGTTGTTGTTCAGAAGACAATAAGGGACAGAAAATTTATACAGAAACAAGAAAGGAGATAATCACATAATTTTTGAAAGATTCAAAATAATCCATTATGCTTCTGTAAAGCACACTTGGAGCTAATTTCAAGTTAATTTTGAAATATATTCCTATGTTAATTGAACATTCAAATTTTTTTTCTTTCTTCAACCATAATTATTGAATTTCTTTAACATACACAATCATAATAAACAAGTTGAAAAATCAAAGAAATTAAAAGAACGAAGTTATTTCAAATGTGTATCAAAAACAATATTTTAGATACTGTTAACTTACTGTGCTTATAGGACCACTAAAATGATAATCTAGTGTGAACACATCCCAGCCAATGTCACCTGCATTCAGTTCCAAAAGCCGAACATCTAGCCTCTGCAAAATTTCAGGGTCTTCAAACTGAGCGTTTGTGGCACGTATAGCAGTTTCAAGTATCCCTGACAAATTATGTCCATACAAGTGAGATGCAGGTTTGCATAGTTCAGGGCTAAAAAGAAAACAATTGTATTCTATGAGTAATAATTATGCAAT